AAGAGATTGAGGAAGACATCAGAAGATGGAAGGACCTCCCATGCTCTTGGATTAGAAGAATTAATATTGTATGCCATTTATAGATTCAATGCAATGCCAACCAAAATCCTCATAACAGTTTTTACAGAATTGGAAAAAAACGTCCTAAGGTTTATATGGAAGCACAAAAGACCTCGGATAGCCAAAGCAACCCTGAACTCTAAGAGCAGTACTGGGGGGATTAGTATACCAGATATGAAACTGTATTACAGAGCTATAGTCATAAAATAGACCCACATATCAGATGAACTGTGACCTGGGATATGTAAGCTAAATACCCCCCCCAAGAAAAAAACTAAATTACAATTTGTCTCATGGCTTTTCTGTACCCATTAATTTTCCCATCAGTTTTCTGTAAAGCATCTTAAAAGTTAGCATTTTAGAACTTTAATTGTTATATTACTTTGGGTAAATAAGGTATAATTTCTGGTAGAAGGTTGTTTTCTTTTTTAGGGACAGACTAGACATAGAAAATTTTATTTTAATTATTTTTTTAAATTGTAATAAAGGGGCTGGAGAGATGGCTCAGCAGTTAAGATCACTGGCTGTTCTTGCAGTAGACCTGGGTTTGGATCCCAGCACCCACATGGTGGCTAACAACTGTCTGTAACTCCAGTTCCAGGCCATCTGACACCCTTTTCTGACCTCCGCAGGCACTGCACAACATAGGTGCACTTAAAAACATCCAGGCATAACACTCATACACGTAAAATAAACAAAATAAAATATTTTCTAAAAATAAATAAAAAACATTGTGATTTAAAAAAAATGCTCACCAAGTATACATAGCGAGTTCCAGGTCAGCTGGGGCTACAGGAAGACCCTGTCTCAAAATGACACCCCCCCCAAAAAAAAAAATTCTGAAATTTGTCCTGTCAGCTGCTTGTAAGTATGCAGTTCACTGGTAATTAGTTTCTGAAGCAGAAACTCTTTTATGTGTTAAACAGACAATTAATATCTCATTTGCTGCTAGCCCTTGATAACCATCATTCATCACTTTACTTTTTAAATTTTTTTAGCCATTTCAGGTATCTTATTTAATATATTCAGAAAGTATTTGTCCTTTGTAATTAATTTCTTAAAAAAAATTCATCCATGTTGTAGCGTATGACACAATTTCCTTATGATCTTCCTGCCCCATCATTAGTAACCCTTTAAAGACAGAATTGTATTTTGCTTTTCTTGTTTTATGTTTTGTATGTGGCTTTTTCTTTTTTTCTTTCCTCCCTTCCTTTCTTTCTCTTTCTTTTTCTTTCTCTCTCTCTCTCTCTTTCTTTCTTTTTTTTTTTGGAGTTTGTAGCCCCAGCTGACCTAGAACTCACTATGTAGACCAGGCTGGCCTTGAACTCACAGACATCTGCCTGCCTCTGCCTCCTGAGTGCTGGGACTAAAGGTGTGCGCTACCACGCCTGGCTATTTTTATTTTTTATGTGTATGAGTGTATTGCCTGATGTATGTAATCTGTAAGTGCACCCGTGTCATGCAGTGTTCGCAGAGGTCAGAAGAAAGTGTTGGATTCCCCTGGAACTGGAATTACAAACGGTTGTTAGCTGCCATGTGGGTGCTGGGAATCAAACCCAGGGCCTCTGCAAGAGCAATAAGTGCTCTTAACTGCTGAGCAAGCCATCTCTCCAGCCCCTAGTCTTCATAGTCTTTACAACCATAATAAAACTACATATCTCTTTTAATTTAAAAACTGTGTTTCTGTATTTGTATGGTGGTGGCCTTTAATCCCAGCACTTGGGAGACAGAGGCAGGTAGATCTCTGTGAATTCAAGGCCTGCCTGTTCTACATGGCAAGTTCCAGGCCAGCTATGGCTACAGGTCTCAAAGAAGACTTAAAGCAAAAAATTATGTGTATGTGTGCGGTGGGTATGTGAAAACCACAAGCATCAAATCCTCGTAGAGCTGGAGTTGCAGGCAGTTGTGAAGCCATTTCATGTAGATGCTGGGAATTGAACGTCAGTCATGTGCAAGAGCAGTGCATACTCTTAACTGCTGAGCCAATCTCTCCAGCCTCCTATCTTCCTTTCACAGTTTTCTTATATGCTAGAGCTATTCAATTTCCAGTTTCTCAGTTGAGCTAACTATATTTCAAGTTGAACTAACTATATTTCAAGTACTCAATACCCACAGATAGGTAATGATTGCCATAGTAGACATTTGGTGTGATTACTCAATATCAAAGTTTGAATCTTCTCTTTATTCTTTTTTCCATCTTCTATTTTCTGTTCTTCAAGAACTAGGAAATGCATCTGTATTTTAAGAGAGTCTACTCTTACTTGTTAAACATTTTCAGAATTCTTAAAACTTAAAATTTTTTAAATTTGGTAGAAACCATATATTTCAAGGGTAAGAAAATGGGCTGGGATTGTGTCTCAGTTGGTAGTGTTTACCTCACATAATGAAGCCTGGGTTCAATTCCCCAGCACTGCATAAACTGGGAATGGTGGTGTGTACCTGTAATCTCAGCACTCACTAGGTAGAGACGGGAGGATCCAAAGCTCAAAGTCATCATCAGCTACATAACAAGTTGGAGACCAGCCTGGGCTGCATGAAACCTTCCAAACAAAATAAACGGAGGCAAGGGAAAGGAAAGAGAAAGGATGATTCTGATTGTGCTGATCATGTGGTAGGTATTGGTCTTCTCAAGAGAGTACTAGTGAAGAAACAGTGACTGTAGGGTTTTGAAAAGGGAGATGTGGGGCTGGAGAGATAGCTCAGCGGGTACAGGCACAGGCTGCTCTTACAGAGGACCTGGTTTTGGTTTACAGCACCCAAATGGCAGCTAACAACCATCCATAACTCCAGTTCCAGGGGAATCCAACACACCCTTCTGACCTTTGCAGGCATTGCATGACACAGGCACATGCACATACATACATACATACATACATACATACATACATACATACAGGCAATATACTCAAACACATAAGATTTAAAATATATATTTTCTTTTAATTTTAAAATATTTTCTTTTTATTTTTATGTGTATGAGTGTATTGCCTGCATGTATGTGAGTGCACTCATGTCATGCAAGGCCGAGGAGGTCAGAAGAGGGCTTCATATTCCCCTGGAACTGGAGTTAAGGACAGTTCGTAGCCGCCATTTGGGTGCTAGAAATTGAACCCGGGTCCTCTGCAAGAGCAGTCAGTGCTCTTAACTGCTGTGCCATCTCTCCAGCCCCAATAAAATATTTTTTTAAAAGGTGGTATATTTGTTTTTTTCAAACTACTGGTAAAAAAACAGAATTCTATTGCCTATTAGACAATAGAATTGGAGCACTCTGAATAAATCTTAGTTATTGCTTTTTATAAAACCCTGCTATTTTTTATGTTCAGATTGACACAAAAACTATTCATTAGTCAGAAATTACAGAAATGTTGAATTTAAACAAAACGTAAAAAGTTGGGATTACTGTCCCTGAAAAGCCAGTTTATGTATGCTGTTATATACAGTTAGAAAGTAATTGTTAGTGTTTTTACAAGACCTTTCCAGTATTTACTAGACAAAAAAGTTGCTATTTTTAAAAACATTATTTTTTATTTTATGTGTATGAATGTTTTGCCTGCATGTATGCAAGTACACCCATGTTGTGCAGTGCCCGTGGAAGACAGAAGAGGGCATTGGATTCCCCTGGAACTGGAATTACAGATGGTTGTTAGCTGTAGGTGCTGGGAATCAAACCTGGGTCCTTTACAAGAGCAGCCAGTGCTCTTAACCACTGAGCCAGCTCTCCAGCCCCCAAAGCTGGTATTTTTAAGCCTACTGATCCCCATACCATTCCCTTCCTAACTCTTCCAAACTCTTCTTTAATCGTAAATAAGAATTTTGCATTCGTGGTAAGTTACTTTTAAACATTGTATCATACCAGTAATTTAGTTTTTGTAGGATGTAGAACTCTGTACAGTGTAGGGAATTTGTGTAGTGACAGAAATAAAATATTAGCAATTTAACTAACATGAATCAGAGCTTTGTAAGTTTCTTAATGATCAAAGAGCCACTTTTTCTTCTTGAGGGTTTATTGTCCTTGCTGGTGGCTCTGTAATTGGCCCAGGAGATGCATCTTAACTGGGCACAACAAGGCAGTGCTGTCTATTTTGTATGCACCTCTCATTTGGTAGTTGCAAGAATGCAGTCGTATTAGCTGCTGGATTGCAGTATAAGAGAGATAGACAGTGGCAGAGATTAAGATGTGTATTACATAGTCCTTACTGGAAAAAGAAGATTAGATTTGTATTTTCATGTTTTCAACTTAAATAAAGCTTCAAATTTTCATAATAAGGAATTGCTGTCTTTTTTCTATTTGGTTACATTTGTATTTATATGTAGATTATTAAATTTTGCCCCCTATATCTTTGTAATGGTGGAAACAAACCAAGTATTTATTGTATTACTTTATAAATGTTGACCTAGACCACAAAAGCAAGTTTCTTTTATTAAGATTGATAGGATGAATATGTGAGAATGAATTGTAAACTTGAAGTAAAAATTGCCTAAATTTTTTTTTTCCCAAGAAGAAAGGCTGTGTTGTTTGGTAATCGTCAGGGACTGACTGTGCATTTTGGCTGTATTCCTAAATTCAGCCACTGACTCACTGTGGGTTTTGGCAAGTAACTTAGTCTCTCTGAAACAAGTTCTTGATTCTTTACTTCTCTGTTTGTAAAGTTAGCATAATAATATTATACTGACCTCAGATGTATTGTGTAATGCTTTCCCACTTTAGAACTTTCCAGCATAAAAATAGTATAGGTTTTTGGTGCTTTGCTTTTAAGTATTTCAAAATCATTATTTCTTTATTAGGTAAATATATTGGAGACATGCTTTAAATGTAGAACAAAACCCTTACTGTACTGTTCAACATAGTCAAGCTTGATGAGTTTTTAGTTATATAAAACATTTTAAGGATACTAGTCTGTAAAGTCTGAATGGTCTTTCTTTTTCTTCATTTATTTCAGTGTCAGAAAAAGGAAGAATTTATTGAAAGAATTCAGGGTTTAGATTTTGATACAAAAGCAGCAGTTGCCGCACATATTCAAGAGGTAATTACCCATATGTATTTTAAAGTACTTTTATGAAATTTGTAATTTTTCTGATATACTTCTCAAAATACTTTAGTCCTTCAATAAAGAACAGTTAAAGATCAAATACAAATTAACCTTACTTTTTTTAAATATATATTGTCTTCTGTTTAGAGATAGATACTTCCTTAAATGAATCATCTTATGTATGGCACAGTGCTTACTACACAATTATTGTCAGTTATGTCTCTGAGGACATAGGGAAAGAATGTTGAAGAATGAAGTATATGTCTTTCTTAGACAGCCCAGAATGAGTGATTCAGTAAGTAGAAGCAGCAGAAAGTGGAAGACTGCTCTAAGGGTAAAGATAATAAGCTTAGCATTATGTCACTATTGTGGTTTTTCTTTTAAAGTAACAGAGATTTTTATTTTATTGAGCTATTAAATTACACAAAATACTGATTTTTAAAAAACATGCATATAAATGCTTAAGTCTAGGACATACTGTACAGTGTTAAATAATTTATATTAATGTAATTTATTTTTTAAGATGTATTTTTTATTTTTGGTCTTTTTGAGACAGGGTTTAAAGCTACCATTTCCATACCTATCTACTCATGACTTTAAATCTTATAGGTTTTTTTTAAATTAGGGTGTATTAAGTTTTGCATGTTGACCAGAGAAGGAGAAAATTTTTAAATAGTGAAAAATTGATAATATTTAACATAGTCTCCACTTGGATGATTATATTCCTTACATCATCTTTTTCTCATAGCTTTCACAGAGTTGAGATTTTCTCTTCAGCTATGTTGTTTTCAGCAGCAAGCATATTAATAACTTTATAAGATACAGCTTACTGGTTCTCTCCATTTATATGTATGTTTGTGGAAGCTTTGAGGTTGTATTTTTAATTTCATTTTGATTAAGTGCTAAGTATACTAAATTTGCAACCATCCTTCATTCGGTTATTTTGGCTATTGTGAAAGTTAAAGTACAATACCAGAATAATGACAGAAAATGAAGAATAAGAAATAATTTTTTTACTCATGTAATTTTCTATTCTTTTACACATCTGTATATTGAAAGTATTTCAATATTTTGTAAACTTATCTTCAGAATTTATAAAGACTTAGCTATTCAGTTATAAAGACACAATAAACATGTATCCTACAAGATGAGAAACCTTCAAATTTGAATCCAGGTAAAATAAATGTAGTCTTATCTTTAAAAGTTCAATTTATTTTGTTATTGTTGAAGCAGTTTTCAGATATACCACTATTACTTTCTCATAAGAATACTTCGTATTAAGTAATTTCTCATTTCTTTTGGCTGGGAATGAGAATTTATTTAAAGATTATATTTAGGTAAAAATAATTTTAGTTGTGTTTCCAAAATTAATTTCAAATATACTTTTGTAGATAATCATAATGCCTTTTTTTATATGGATATATAATAGTTGAGCTAATTTTGTAATAAAATGAACTCAATATTTATTAATCATTCTTTGATTACTTTGCTTGCCTCTCTAAAGGTAACCCATAATCAGGAAAATGTGTTTGATCTACAATGGATGGAGGTGACAGATATGTCTCAAGAAGATTTAGAACCACTCTTGAAAAATATGGTATTGCATCTCAAAAGACTTATAGATGAAAGAGATGAACATTCAGAGGTTAGTAAATTTTTTTTTTTACTACATCATGGAAGTTTTCTTTCTTAAAAAAAAAAAGTCCTAAGATCGATGCCATGTTTCTTAGGGATAGGTAATAAGCTATAGTTATCCTTTGATATCTGTGGGGTTATTGGTTCTTGGACCTTCTGAAGATAATAAAATCCATGAATGCTCCAGTCTCTTCAATAAAATATTACAATATTGCATATCCTACAAATATACTCCTTATGGTTTGAATCATCTCTTAATTACATATAATAATGAATACTATGTGCATGATGCACAAATAGTTGTTACACTGCTGCTTAGGAGATGAGGAGGAGGGAAAATTGTGTATCTGAGATGTGCAAACAGAGGGTTATTTTTTTTTTAATATTTTGTATCGTAGTTTTTTTTAAATAAATAATTTATTGAGAATTTCATACATACATATAAGGTGTTTTGATCAAATCCATACCCACTCCCTCCCCTCCAACTCCTCCCATATCTCCCCATCACTTTTTTCTGATAACTTCATGTACTCTTTCTTCTTTGATTTATTTATTCATTTTTATAGGGCTTTTGGCTGCTCTAATATTCCCCCCTCTGAAGAGGTAATCCTAAAATCTTTTAAGGATTAACAAGAGCTCCTAATACTTTTGGAATTTCTAGACTCTGATACAGACGAGGTTGCTAAGAGGCGCAAGGACATTTTGACTTTAAGCCAAGAAAGAAACTGGTTACTTTTCTTTGGGAGCTTTTTACCCTAACTCCCTAGCCAATTTCTACATACTATTCTTATCACATCACCCTCTGAAGAGGTTACCCAAATTACCAACAGGGAATCAGGACACAGACCACTCTGGCTTCTTCCATGTTGAAGAGGGATGCAGAGTGAGGCAATTGAAATACCCCTTCAGTGGGTCTATCTAAAAGGCTCCCAGATTGCATAACTCTTATCTCTAGGGGGAAAAGAAAGTCCTTGAATGGTGGATAGGAGATGTGAAGGAGAAGTAAAGGCAGGAGTAATTAGCATTACAAATTCTAGACAGGGAACTAGAAAAAAAGTCAGAATAGGGCAATTTTCAAATGTTCATATGAGAGTCCATAGGAATTTCTTGACAAGGGCTTCCAAAAGCATCCCTCTTTTGGGCTCCTCCTGAATTCAGGATTTGCTTTCAGATATTTTGATAGCTGTTGGAGTAGTTAGAATCAATGTCAGTTCCCTCTCAAAGGCTTCATCACATGGAGGCAGGATCCGGGGGCTCCTAGGCAGTCCCCTGCATTGTCGGGTCCTCTGTCAGAAGGAGGCCTGAGGGAGGCCAGAACTCTGGAGGTCTGCTGAAATCAGAGCCACTACACCGATGGAGGTCCAAACCCACCCTCTCAGGCTGTCTGCTAGGATTTCCATATCTCTAGTTTCTTGAATTTGCACATTTGAAACCTACATCGAAGACCAACTATGGTGTCTTTTATTATTATTCTTTTGTGTGTGCAACACAGGAACCAGAAAGGAAAGGAAACAACCCCAGACTGCTAGCAAATAAATTAGAATTAGTTCTTCTTTCCTCTTTTACTTTTTCCATTAGTATTCTGATTTTGTTCCTGTGTGTTTTTCAAGTCATCCCAACTCTGGCAATAGTATAGAAGTATGAAACCGAATATTCAGTTGATGTAAGTGGAAAAACCATTGCCTCAAAGCACAAGAATTTGCTTAAGATTAATTTCTTAGTTTTATTGCTACAGTTTGAAGTTGGAAAAATAAGTATGCATAGAGAGAGTAACAGGTGTTCTGAGTAAAATGTGCCACAGAGTTCTCAAAATTTTTAAAATCGCTGTGATGAGGCAAGATTTATTTTATTCAAAAAATGATTAGCAAAAGCTCCTTTAAAACAACATTGCTTTTTAAAAAAAAACTTTTAAAAATGTGTTATGAGTGTTTTTGCCTGCATATATGTAAGTGTACCCATATCATGCTGCCCAAGGGAGCCAGAAGAGTGTTGGATCCCCTGAAACGAGTTACAGATTAGGTGCCCTGTTTTTTTAGCCACTGCTGTCCTAGAACTCACTATGCAGACGAGCCTGGCCTCAGTCTGCCTGCTTCTGTCTCTGAAGTGCTGGGATTAAAGGCCTGTGCCACCACCATGCCCACCTATTTTTTCTTTTCCTTTTTTCATTTTTAATTATTTGTATCAGTATGTGCAATGTGCGTGCAGGTGCCCATGGAGCCCAGAAGAGGACACTGGATCCCCTCAGCTGGAGTTACAGATGAATGTGAACTGCTTAATAATGGTGTTGGGAACCAGTCAGGTCCTCTGCAAGGACAGTATGTGCTCCTAACCACAGACCCATTGCTCTAGCCCCAATGTTTGATTGTCATAGACCCAAATACTCTACTGTTCAGAAAAATACATAGTTTTGATTATTACATTTTGAGCTTATTTATAGAAAATTTGTATGATTATTCTTAGATTATTCTTAAAAGATTATTTAAAGGAAACCTGAACATAACTGATGTCTCAGAGTGTTTTCAATTCTGGTGAGAGTTTTCAATTTTGTAACAAATTTTTTTTTTTTTTGGTCTTTTTTTGAGACAGGTCTCCCTGTAGCCCCAGCTGGCCCAGAACTCACTATGTAGACCAGGCTGGCCTTGAACTCACAGATATCCACCATGGAATTTTTTTTTTAATGTTTTGAGACAGGGTCTCACTATGTAGGCCAGGCTCTGGCCTTAATCACAGAGACCCGCCTGCCTCTGCCTCCCAGGTGCTGGGATTAAAGGCGGGCGCCACCACGCCCGGCGACAATTAAATTTTTAATAAAGCAAATACACTGAGACCAAAGGAAGGGAAGAAATGAATCAAAAAGGCATACCTAGCATATATGAACCTTGTTCTGAGACAATTACATAATTTTATTTTTAATGTAGTTTTTATCATTCTGCTGCTGCTTTTGGTCTTACTGTCTTTTTATTTAATGCTTTTTCTGTTGTCTCTAGGACATTCTTTTATTTCTGTTTTGAGTTTTTTAGGGTGTTATAGTAAGGTCCTCCAGCTCTCCAGCTGCTGAGGAGTTAGAAGAAAAATCAATATTTTGATTTAAAAAGAATACAATATATTGCTTTGTCATTTGTATGAGATGATTAGGTATAAAATATTTGTCATTTTGTGGGGCTGGAGAGATGGCTCAGAGGTTAAGAGCACTGGCTGCTCTTGCAAAAGACCCAGGTTTGATTCTAAACAATAAGCCAGGTGTGGTGGTGCACGCCTTTAATCCCAGCACTTGGGAGGCAGAGGCAGGAGGATCTTTGTGAGTTCAAGGCCAGCCTGGTCTACATAATGAGTTCCAGGATAGCTGGGGCTACAGGGAGACCCTGTTTCAAAAAGACAAAATGAAATAAATACATAAACAATAAAACAAAGTTTAAAATTTTGTCATTTTTGTAACTCAAAAATCTAAAAGAAATATGAAACATAGAGCCTTTTAGAATTCATTATTCTGCCCAATTAAAATTTCTTTTGATTTATTTTTTTCTCAAAAGCAAAATTTGGAAGACAAGTTGTAGGCTGGATTAAATCTAATTCTTTGAGAATTTTTTTTTTAATTTGAGCCACAAATTAGAAGTAGTTGTTCAAAGTAATTGTGAAAAATGGTAGACAATTTAAAGTTAGTGTGTGAATAAATTTTTCTGTTATTCAGTTGGATTAAAACAGGTTATTAAGGTTTTCCCTTTAATCACTTGACTCCCTCCCTGCTTTTACCTAGTGTGAGAGATTATTTCTAACTACTCCAGAGTTCCTATTCAGTTTGAAGCTACAGTTAGGCCTCTTGAATGTCCCTTTCACATTCAAGTTTTAATAGTACCATTCTGTCATTTTACTATCTAATTAATGGCTTACTGTTTTTTATTGTCTTAATAACATTCCTAGTTAAGAGATTCTCCAGCAAGGTATCATTCAGCACTGTAATTTTCAATAAGGTATAGCTATTTTAGACATGTGAAATTGAAGCATATATAAACTAATATAAAGTTACACAACCAATGATAGGTACAATAGCTATTAAAATTCAAGCTTGACACCCATGTTTTGACTAATCTTTTGTCACAACTTTCACTCCAGACTAAAAGTATATATTTGGTCACACGTTTTTAGTTTTGTTACTATTTTATTCTTTTTATTTATTTTTATTTTTTATTTTTTGGACTTTTTGAGACAGGGTCTCCCTGTAGCCTCAGCTGGCCTAGAATTCACTCTGTAGACCAGGCTGGCCTCAAACTCATAGAAATCCGCCTGCCTCTGCCTCCTGAGTGCTGGGACTAAACGTGTGCCACCACAACTGGCTTATTTATTTTTTATGGAGTATGTATGTGTCTGTAGTATATGCACATGAGTATACAGGTGTGTGTATGCTTGCCTGTGTGTACACACATGCAGAGGCCAGAGCATCCTGATGTTTTACTCTTTGGTTTCTATGTTATTACCTTGAAATGGGGCCTCACTGAACCAGAAACTCTTTATTTCGGCTAGGCTAACTAGCCAGCAAATTCTCAGGATCTGCCGTCTCTTGTCTACCAATACTGGGGTTACAACCACCCACTGTCATGCCGAGCTTCTCGCATGGGTGGTGAGGATTCAGACTTTGGTCCACATGCTTCCAGAGCAAGCCCTCTTACCCATAGCCACTGAGCTTAAATCCCTAGACCTTAACAATTTTATTCTTTTTGCTTTTTTTTTGAGACAGGATCTCCATGTAACCCCAGCTAACCTGGCACTTGCTATGTACACCAGGCTGGTCTTGATCTCACAGAGATTCTCCTGCCTCTGCCTCCCAAGTGGTGAGATTAAAGGTGTGCACCACCGTGCTCAAACCAACTATTTTATTCTTAATCTCATGGGAAAGTATGTATACCAAATAGTAGATTATACTAAATTAAAGTTTTGAAATTGATAAATCTGTCACTATTGTAAGCTAGACTTTTTGCTGGAAGTTTGAAATATGCTGTCTTATTGAATCTGCACTGATTGAAAGGGTAGGTTTGAGCATATAGAAGCAGTGATAGTAAGGAGGCATGATGTACAAGAAGAGTTGGTCCTGGGACTGGAGAGATGGCTCTACAGTTAAGAGCACTGGCTCTTCTTCCAGAAGACCCAGTTTCAAATCCCAGCACCCACATGGCAACTAACAACTGTCTGTAACTCTAGCTCCAGGGGATCCAACGCCCTCTTCTGTCTTCTGTGAATTCTGCATAACATGCAGGCAAGACACTCATAAAACAAAAATAACATTTAAAAAAAGGTTAAAAAAAAGAAGCCGGGTGTAGTGGTGTATGCCTTTAATCCCTACTGGGATTAAAGGCAGGGTAGGCAGAGTTAGGCAGATCTCTGTGAGTTCAAGGCCAGCCTGGTCCACATAGCAAGTTCTAGGCCAGCTGGGGGTACAGGGAGACCCTTTCTCACAAAGACCTCCCCAAAAGAAAAGTTGGTTGCTTTACTAGAAGAGCCTGAACTTATTGAATAAGGAGTAGACGTGGCATTGTAAGAACAACTGCGAAGTCACCTAATGAGGTTTATTAAAGCCATAGTTGCAAGCAGGAAGATAAAGACTAATACAGATGCTGAAATAAATCCCAAGGATAAAAAATGAATCCTGGTGTATGGTTAAAAACACAGAAATAATGAAGGTGAATAAGACTTGGTGGTGATTAAATACAAATGATGATTTCATGGTCCCAAGGTAGTAAACTCACCCATTCTTGCCTGGAATAGCAGGATAGTTACAAATGCCTTACAAGATAAGTTTGTCTGAGTAATGCTAAAGCTGAGAAATTGGTTTAGAATAAAAGAATTTACTAGTAAAGTAAAGGAAAATTAGAAGAATAGAGGAGCATGGTTGTGTAAAATACATGTGCACTAAATATCTAACCTATGAAGCTGAGAATTGGGAGAAAAGATTTTGTAGCCCACTGAGGGTCTTTGGAGAAAGGAATAAAGGGAAGTTTTGAAATAAAAAGCAGTACCGTATAATAAAAGATAGACTGTGTGGAGTCAGCAGGCTAGCCTGGAGTCTCACCATTACTATTATCTAGTTGTATAATCATAACAAATCAATTTCTGAACCTCAGTCGCCTGTCCTCCAGAGAAAAGAGGTTAAATGAAATCTCCAAGGTCTTGTTTCCTCTATCTAGAGATTGCTTTCTCTAGAATTACAAAATTCTAAAGCAATTTTGTCCAGTTCTACAATGACCACAAGATTATATTCCTGGACTGTCCAGTATGGTAACAAACCTAATTCTAACCCTAACCCTAATCCTTGAAATTTGGCTAACAATTGCTATCTAATTATTTTGTCATAATTTCTTGTGTTAAAAAAAATTTAGTAAGAAGCCTGGCATGGCGATGCATGCTTTTAATCTGAGCACCCAGGAGGTAGAGGCAGGTGGATCTCTGTGACATAGAGGCCAGCCTGGACTACATAGCGAGTTCCAGGCCAGCCTAGGAGACTCTGTCTCAAAAACAAACAAAAAACAAGAATAAGACAAGGATATCCACTCTCTCCACTGTTATTCAATATAGTGCTTAAGATATCTCTGGCCAATGAATTGTTTTGATGTTGTAGTATAGTACCCTGTGATTAGTGCTGCTGTGTTTCGGTTGCTGATGTATAGAATACTAAAATGGATTCTGTGTTTATCCCATAATTCTTAAGACAATTGTAGAACTCTCTGAAGAGCGAGATGGTCTTCATTTTCTGCCCCATGCCTCTTCATCTGGACAGTCACCCTGTGGTTCTCCAGGCATGAAGCGAACAGAAAGTCGGCAGCATCTCTCAGTGGAACTGGCTGATGCTAAGGCCAAGATACGAAGACTTAGGCAGGAATTGTAAGTTACCTATTTGCAGTATTCATTGAATTATTGAAGTTAGGATGATCTAAGCAGCATTTGAACTTTTAACAGTAGACCAGTTGTCCTCTGTTGCTAGTCTAAGTCAGTTATTACTAATATTTATCAAAATGAGAAAAGTAAGGAGCCTGGCATAAGGTTTAAAATATTCAGTCTTACCAATTTAAAGGTTGTTATCCTTTGTTCTGGGTTTCTTTCTTTCTTAATCTTTGTAGAATTATAATATCATTTCTTTTTAACATAGTGTCATTACTTGGTAAATCAGGGAAAAGGCTCCTCAGTTGATAATAGATCAGTAGATATACCTATTTTAACAGTAATTCTTTGGGCTGGACAGATTACTCAGTGGTTAAGAGCACTGGCTATTCTTGCAGAGGACCCGGGTTCTGGTCCCAGCACTCACATGGTGTCTAACAAACCGTCCATAGCTCCAGTTCCAGGGAATCTGACACCCTCTTCTGGCCTCCATGAGCATTGCATGACATGGGTGCACTTAACATACATGCAGTCAATACACTCATACACAGAAAATAAAAATAAAAAATAAAAAAATTAAATATATTAATGCTTTAAAAACTGGGCATGGTGGTATTTGCCTATAATTCCAGCCCTGAGGAAGTAGAGGCAGGACAATCCAGAAGTTCACAGTCACACAAAATGAGTTTGAGCATAGCTTGGGCCACTGAAACATTATCCTAACAATAATATAAATGTTTTCAGAGACTAAAGTGTTGGCACATAATATTACAAAAATAATTTTTATGCATATCATAAACTATAAGTAATTGAAGTGTCTCACATCGTCTTAGTAAAATATGCAGATTTGGTAGGTACTGATAAAATTGTTGTGCTTATTCAACTTTCTAAGATGGTTACATGAAAGCCAGTTAAATACTACAATCGTTCTTGTGGTTCTTTGTGAACAAAAGCAAAAGCTTGACCAGTCTCCACTGGAGATTTTGTATTTTGTACTTTAAGGAGAACAAAGGATTTTTTTATTTAGGGATTTTTTTCTCTTCTTTTTGAAGCTCTTTTTTGAAGCTCTGGAATTTGAGCTTCAGAATGTAGATTTTAATTTTAAAACTGCAATGTAGTAATTATATTTATTTACTGATTATTTAAAGTAACTAAAAAAGTGAATTAAATATGCAATGTAAAAAGTATTATAGTCTGTAGGAAATTTTGAAAACAAAAAAATACAGCTTTCATTTGTGGATGTCTGCATTATGTGTCTATTGAAGTGAACACGCCCAGGATATTCTATAAACAGCTGCACCAGGAAAATTAGGGAAGAGATTGCTGTTATTAGCTTGACTGGCAGTTAATGGATAGCCTAAACAGCGAACACTAGTTTTTCCATATAATTGGCACAGTCTTCTCCAGCCTTTAGTGAAGCATGCAATTAGAGCTGCAGTTCTGGCTGTGAATTCGGTTGTGCTTTACATGGTACTAGAATTTAACTTTCAAATAAAATTTACTTGGCCTTGGGATATATTACAATTCAGACAGTCTTAAGAATTGACAAAATTTGATTACATGTGCACTGATTTGAAAATGTAAGTTGATACTTTTAAAACTAAAGATACCACATGTAGCAAATATTCTGTGTAACAGCACTTCATCAAATACCATCTAATATCTTTGAAAACGTGTTTTCAACATTTCTCATGATAGCATGTATTAAGTCTTTTTTTATTCAGACAAATCTTTACTATGGTGGATAGCTGCAAAAATCATGATGATCAGAAATAGTCCAGGTTGCTTTATAACTAATGAAAACCATACAGTAATTTATTAAAATATGCTAATAGTACTAGCTATTATTAAGTGATGTGTGCTCATTCCTGGGTAATACGACATTTTGTAATGGCTTTTTATTTACAAACAGAATAAAAGCATAATTTATGATTAGGTGAGATAAGTAATTCTAACTTTCATTTTTTATGCAATAGTTAACATTATTAAGGACTCCCTTAATGCCTCTAGGGATTCTGTGTTTTGGGAATTCCTCCAATATATGATTACTTTTTAAAAATATTTTTTATTTTATGTGTATGCGTGTATTGCCTGCATGTAGATAAGTTCAGCCCCATGATTACTTATTTTGTAAAAAAAATAAATAGGGCTGGAGAGATGGCTTAGCGGTTAAGAACACTGGTTGTTCTTGCAGAAGACCCGGGTTCGAATCCCAGCACCCACATGGCAGCTAACAACTGTCCATAACTCCAGTTCCAGGGGATCCAATGGCCTCTTCTGTCCTTCGCGGGCATTGCATGACATGGGTGCCCTTACCTATATGCAGGCAATACACTCATGCACATAAAATAAAAATAATAGATAAATAAAATATTTTAATAAATACTATCCAAGATATATATAATTCAGTATCTGACAGTTCATCCATTTGACGTGTGTAATTAAATCATTTTTAAGTTATATAGTCATCACAATAATTTTAATACACTTAAATAAAACTACCCTATCGTTTATCTCTATCCATACCCTTTGTCTTCAGATCCTGGCAGCTGCGAGTTTATTTTCTATTTCTATGGGTTTGCCTATCCTGAACATTCATATAAATGGAACATGTAATGTGTAGCCTTCTGTGACTAACTTCTTTCACTTAGCATGATGTTTTCTAAGTTATTCCATGTCACAGCTTATATCCGTTCTTCCATTGTATACATATACCATGATGATTCTTTGATGAAATGACAGGCACTTGAATTGTTTCCCTTTTGAGATCTTATAAATAATGCTGCTGTAATGGTGACAGCATGCAAGGGTCCCATGTAAGCTCAAGCGAGACAAAATCCTACCATAGACGTGGGGAAGTGGGTAAGGCATCCCAGACCTACCTAAGGAACTATTGGGAACCAGTGATTATTGGGAAGAAGAGATTCAGGCTCATTTAAGGGGAGGCTCTCAGTAGGTTGACCAGGCTTCAGTTATGAACCCACACCTCTCTATACATATACACATAAATATGACTGTTAGAATACAGAAATTTCATAGGGGGTTAGGTGGAAGGTTGCAGATATGGGAGGGGTTCTACATATGATCAAAATTTGTAAAATTCACAATTCAGTTTAAAAAATGCTACTGTGAATATATGTGTGCACATTTTCATGGATATATTTTTATTTCAATTTCATGTATATGCATGTTTTGTCTACATGTATGTAAGTAGACCCATGTTGTACAGTGCCTGCAGAGGGCATAAAAGGGCATTGGATCCCTTGGAACTGGTGTTATGGACAGTTGTCAGCTTCCATGTGGGTCCTGGGCATCGAACCTGGGTCCCCTAAAAGAGTAGCTACTGCTCTTAACTGCTGAGCCATCTCTCCAGACCCTAGACATCTATTTTTTAATTCTCATGCATGCACTGAGGAATGAACTATATGCAATTCTTTTTTTTTCAATTTAAAAGACATTCAACATTTCAAAAATAAACATTTGTAACTGATGTTTTTGACAAAGACAATAACTTCTGATATATGAAAAAGATGAACCTTATAGGGTATGATGGTGCACCCCTTTAATTCCAGCACTCAGGAGGTAGGGGCAGGTAGATCTCTGAGTTTGAGGCCAACCTGGTCATAACAAATTCTAAGCCAACCAGGACTATACAGTGAGATCTTGTCTCAAAAAAAAAGACAAACCATCTAACAGAAAGTTAGAAATAAGAGAGCAAGCAAGATGGCACTGGGGGACAAGACTGATGACCTAAGTTTGGTCCCCAGAGCCCACATGGTGAAAGGAGAAAAGCTGCTTCTGCAAGTTGTCCTTTGATCTCCATACATAGACCATGGCACTTACACCCCTACTACAGACAGACAGACACACACACACACACATAAAATAAAGTAAAAGATGGGAATTAACCATTTATAAAATATAAAGAATTTTTGATAGAACATATGTGGAAAAACTAATTTTTGCTTTTCATAGTTCAAGAAATAAAACAATAATGACATTTTAATGTGTTAAATTTTTTTGCATATATCTGTCTTTGAATTTTTATTTGTGTATATGCACACATGCACATGTTACAGCCTACATGTACAAGTCAGAGGGCAACTTAGAGGAGTTGTTTATCTCCTTTCAGGATGTAGGTCCTGAGGATCAAACTCCGGTTGCCAGACTTGTCAACAAGCACCTTTACCTGCAGGGCCATCTACATGGCCCTACATAAGCATCTTTATCCTCTGCACAGTGGTGATGATCCTTCAGGAGTATGGTTTGATAATACATACCAAGAATCTATGAATCTCTGTTCTACTATCAAAGGGAATACTTCTCCACCACTTAAAAATTACGGTTTTTGACTAGGTGTGGTGGCGCATGCCTCCGACACTCAGGAGACAGAGCCAGGCAGTTTTCTGTGAGTTGAAGGCCAGCCTGGTATATATAGTTCCAGGCCAGCTGGGGCTAAAGAGAGTCCCCGTCTCAAAAAGACAAAAATAAATAAGTAAATAAATATTACAGTTTTGAAAGCAGGGAATTATATGAGGATGTGTAAAAATAGGCTGCTTTATTCAGTGCCATTTTATTATTAGAGGGAAGAAGGTAGAAAATAATCCAGGCTTACTTTGAGATTAGCTCAGATAGACATACAGAAAAATAAGAAAAGTAAAGCAGTTCAGAGGAAAAAAATTATATATATGACAAGGTATAAAGCAACGTGAAATAAAGATTTTGGGTATATATATGGCAAATACTAAGTGTATTTTTTCCTTTAGGCCACTGTAAATGTAGAGTATAGTTTGGTAACCCTTCTGAGCCTCAGAAATATTATTATAAAAGCCATCCCAGGTTAATTATTTTTGATTATTCAGGGTGGGAAAAGGAGAAGAAAGTTGGGATGAGAAAGATGAAGAGACAGAGAGAAAGTATGCAGTGAACCATTAGGACAAGAGTTATAGGGCTAGCCTTTGGACAGCATTGGGGAGAAGCTTGGTGGCATCTAAACATACACATTCTTAGTATCTTTTTCTTTCTTTTCTCCCTGTACTGCATTTTTGAATAATATTATATTCAATATGTTAGTAGTTAGTTAGTTAGTTAGTTAGTTAGTTAGTTAGTTAGTTAGTTAGTTTAATTAGTTGTTAGCTAATTACAGGGTCTTACTGTGTAGCTCTGGCTGGCCTTAGACTTGCTATATAAACCTAGCTGGCCTCCAATTCAGAGATAGACCTTCCTTTGCATCCCAAGTGCTGGGATTAAAGGTGTGTGCCACCTCATTCAGCAGAAAAGATGTATTTATTTTTATTTTATGTGTATGACTATTTGCCTGCGTGTATGTTTGTGCACATGTGTGCTTGGTGCCTGTGGGGGCCAGAGAGGGTATGGATCCCCTGGAACCTGTGTTACAGATAGTTGTGAGCCTCCATGTGGGTGCAACTGCTCTTACCCACTGAGTCATCTCTCTAGCCCTCAGTTTTTTAGTGATGATAGCTTATTTGTACTAATGCAGATGATGATCATAGATTTTTTAAAATAATAATTTCGTTGTTTAATAAATGTTTTGTGCTTAAGGGAAGAAAAGACTGAACAGTTATTGGATTGTAAACAAGAACTTGAGCAAATGGAAATCGAACTGAAAAGGCTGCAACAAGAGGTTTGTGCCTGGAACTGTTTTTGTGTTGTAGTACAGTGTAATTGGATGTTGAGTTTTCTCCTTGCAATTCATGACCTTGATCAATACTTTAAACTTCAATTACCTCATAGATTTATATAAAGAAATTAGAAGACCTTTTAGTGTGTTTCTCAGAATACAGAGTCAAAGCTAGAAATCAAGATCTTTAGACACTTGTTTATGCTATTCAAACTTTGTTAAAATTGAAAAGAGCTTCTTTAGACTAGAACAGTTCAAGTCTCTCTTTTATTTATTTGTCCTCTATGACTAAGGACGCTAGAGCACCTCTGTACACTGAATTGTGTTTATATTTTATCTCCCTGAGTTTGTGTTCTCTCATGGTGCATTATATTATGTTGTATGTGCCAGAATCTTTTTTTATTAGTCTTTTGCTCATCTTGAACCAAGAGTTAGCAATTTTTTTTAAATTTTATGTGTATGAGTGTATTGCCTGCATGTATGTAAGTGCACCCATGTTGTGCAATGGAAGTCAGAAGAGAACATCAGATTCTCTTAGAACTGGAGTTAAGGATGGTTGTTAGCCGCCATGTGGGTGCTGGGAACCAAACCCATGTCTTCTGCAAGAGCAGCCAGTGCTCTTAACTGCTGAGCCATCTCTCCAGCCCCAGGAATTTTTCTTTTTCTTGAGGGACTACTAAGAAAGTGGAAGTGGATAGAGTAGAGAATATAAGAGAAAGTAAACGGGCCATGGCAAATGTCAAATTATGTGCATATATTAGAAGGCCAGAGTAAAATACATTAGTTTGTATAATTAATGTACAGTAAAATTTAAAAACCAGTAACAGTTGAATGAAAGAAGAGAGAGAAAGAACTGACTTCTTCTAATCACACTGTTTTGTTTTCATTGGGTATCCCCATTTGAGTGTATGAGCCCTTTAACCCGTAAATGCTGAAGATTGATGTGAGGCTCAACAATTATATCTTCCCCTTAACCACTCCTAACCTGTGATTTTAAATATGGAGAAAGCTCCATTGAGGATCATGACCTAGGAAGTAATATTCTTTATTTCCACATGCTCTGGGTGCTATTCCACATCTTAGTAATAGGATGTGTGTCTTTGTGCATGTATGCCTGTGTTTGTTTTCCCTCCAAAATAGTGTCTCCTAAGAAGACAAAAATATTAAAGCAAAGAGTAATGTTATATCTATTTTTGCAGATCTCTTTAATGCCTGATATACAAGATTTAAGAGTCTCATCTGTTTTTGCATTTAGTCTGTTAAGATGTTACAGGTGAGGGGGGGCAAGAGATGGCTGAGCAGTTAAGAGCACTGGCTGTTCTTGCAAAGGACCTGGATTCAATTCCCAGCACCCACACGGCAGCTAACAACCATCTGTAACTCCAGTTCCAGGGAATCTGATGCCCTCTGACAGCCGTGGGCATTGCATGACACAGGTGTCATGTAGGCAATACACTCATACACATTAAAAAAAAATATGTTAAAAAAAAAAAAGATGGTACAGGTGGGCCAGTGAAATGACTCAGTAGACAAAGGTGCTAACTGCCAAGACTTATGTTGTAAGTTCAATCCCCAGGACCCTTCATGGTAGTAAGAGAGGGCCAATTGTCCTCTATCCACCACATGTGAGCCTTGGTGCACATGCACACAAACAAAAAATAATTGTAGTTTAAACAATTTTTTAAATGTCATAGCCCTTGTGTCTGGAAAATACTGTACAATGTCATCATAAGACAGTGAAGATGAAGGGCTGGAGAGATGGCTCAGCAATTGAGAGTGCTGGCTGTTCTTGCAGAGAACCCGGTTTGAATCCCAGCACCCACATGGTGCTTAACGGCTGTCCATGACTCCAGTTCCAGGGGATCCAACAGCCTCTTCTGTCCTCCGTGGGCATTGCATGACACGGGTGCACTTGCCTACATGCAGGCAATATGCGCATACACATAAAATAAAAATAATAAATAAAAAATATTTTTTAGAAAAAGACAAGTCATGCTTGCTGTTGAGAATGAAATTAGTTTTGACCTTATGAACTCTCTAAGAATGTTTCAGAGATCCACAGAAATTGACAATTTACATTTTGAGGACTTCTGTTCTAAAGTATTGCAATAAAATTTATTTAAAAGATTGAATTTTAAACCGGGTGTGGTGGCGCATGTCTTTAATCCCAATACTTGGGAGACAGAGGCAGGCGGATCTTTGTGAGTTTGAGACCAGCCTGGTCTATATAGAAAATTCCTTGCCAGCTGGGGCTACAAGGAGACCCTGTCTCAGAAAGACCAAAAATAAAAAAAAAATAAAAAAAAAAAGATTGAATTTTAATATTTCAGATGGTAGTAAAATCTACACTATCTCTTTTACTTGGCAGTATTTAAAAAAAAAATACCAGCAAGGTTTTGATCTGTCACAGTATATATAAATAAAAGCATTTCTTTAAAGTACCTAGTGATTTACTTTAAAGTTAACCTTTGAACCTTAAATTAGTTATAAGGTATTTTCTTTAGTAGAAGTTAACTTATTTTAAAATACCTTGTTTGGCAAACCTACTTTCACCAAAGGACACAGAAGAATCCAGTCCACTTGAATTAAAAACTGTAGCCGTTGGACTGGAGAGATGGCTCAGCAGTTAAGAGCACTAACTACTCTTGCAGAGGACCCGGGTTCATTCCCTGCACCCACATGGTAGCTAACAACCATCTGTAACTCTAGTTCCAGGGAATCCAGTGCCCTCTTCTGACCTCCTCAGGCATTGCATGACATTGGGTTGCACCTACCTACATGCATATAAAATAAATAAAATACTTAAAAAAAAATAATAATAAGTAAAAAAATAAAATACCTTGCTCACAGGGAACATTATGTAAAAATTTGTGAATGAACTTATGTTTAAAACCCTTTTTTTAAACTTGGTTTAAGGGAAAGTCCTCTTTTTGAGACAGGATCTCCCTGTATCCCTAGCTGTCCTGGAACTTGATCTGGAGACCAGGCTGGCCTGATACCACAGAGATTTCACCTGTCTCTGCCTCCAGAGTGCTGGGATTAAAGGTGTGCATCACACTGTACCACACTACCATACTTTACTTGGCTGTCCTTGTTTCTTTCTTTCTTTGTTTTTCTTTGTTTGGTTGTTTTTTTTTTGTTTGTTTTTTGTTTTTTGTTTTTTTGGTCTTTTTAAGACAAGATCTCCCTGTAGCTACAGCTGGTCTGGTCTGGATTCACTATGGAGACCAGGTTGGCCTGGAACTCACAGAAATCCACCTGCCTCTGCCTCCTGAGTGCTGGAATTAAGGGCGTGCACCACCACGCCTGACTAAGCTGTCCTCATTTCTTAAAGACAACTGAGGTATAACTTATATACCATAAAATTGCATTTTAAAAATACATAATTTATTAACTTTTTAACTAATCTGAAGTTGTATCACCAAAGATGAAGAATTTAAAAGAGAAAGTTAATATTCGAGGTATTACTTGTATTTTTATTTATATTTAGAATATGAATTTGCTTTCGGATGCTCGTTCTGCTAGAATGTATCGAGATGAATTGGACGCACTTCGAGAGAAAGCAATCAGAGTTGATAAACTTGAAAGTGAAGTCAGCAGATATAAAGAGAGACTGCATGATATTGAATTTTATAAGGCAAGAGTTGAGGTATGTTGCATAATCAGCTGTTCATATTTTTTCTTTAAATTGTTAAGACTTTCAAAATGTACCATATAAACAAGAGTTGTTTGTTTTAAATAGATCAGTGTTACTGCTTAGACTTTCACAAAGGAATTTTCAGACACATTAAATTTATTGAAACCTTCAGGGCTCTTTCGTTCCTCTTTTTGGCTTCATAGTTACGGATAACTTTGAAGATTTTCTCTCATAGTCAAAGTACTTATTTCTACTTACCTCAAACTTATTCCCAGAAAGAAAGGAAAATGTGTTTCTCATTGCTCTTCAATTGACATTACTAAGTTGAGTTCAATGTTCTGTATATGCAAATGAATGAGAATAAAACACCTTTTCCTCCTTGATAGTTACAGTTCCGTATAACATGTTGAGATTGACAGCAAGAATTTATCGAAGCCCTTCCATCATTTGTTCATTTCTGTTAACTTCCATATTTCCAGTAAACAGAAGAGATTTTGATTGTTTTAATATGAGGGGGAAAAGAAAGAAGTATGTGAAATCAAGAAATAAACACGAGAGGGCCAATGAGATGATTCAGTGCAATAAAGGAAGGAAGGAAGGAAGGAGAGAGCTGACAGATAAATTGTCCTCTCACCTCCACATAGATGCCATGGCATGTACCCACACATAGCATACACATACTAAATGTGTGATTTTAAGAACATATGAGAAAGTAGAATGTTTTAACCTGAATGTTTACCTGTAGATGAAACAGTAAAACTCCAAGATAAAATATGTATTGATTCTTTGCTGGTTATATATTTAGATATATGCATGCTAATATTAAGGGATCATCATGACTTAATATACTTTCTATAAATCCAGGCATTATAGTATATACCTGTAATACAAGCTCAAGAGGCTCAAACAGGAATATCACTAGTGTGAGAGCAGCCTGGAGTAAGTAGTGGGACCCCTTCTCAAATCAAAAACAAAAATGTATTTATCTATATTTTATGAAGCACAGATAGATAATTTAGCAAGTTACTATTGTGAATACACATCTATAAATTATATGTAAGGCTTTTAAAGGATTTCCTCAATTTATGTGACAGTTACCAGTGAGAACTGAGAATAAAGCTCAGTATTAGAGGTCTTGCTACACATGCATAAGGCCCTGCCTGGGTTCCATGGTTAGCACAAGAAAAGCAAAGCCAGCCAACCTTCCTGACCCACCTTGAGTCATGGTGTGTCCCGAGTGACAAATCTCTCTACTTTGCCTGTTTGTCGGAAGACAACAGAATGTAGAATGAAAAGGACACGATAAAGGCCACCCAGCTGCTGAGGGAGACCAGAGAATAATTCTGGCAATATCAACACCCTCACTTGTATGTCTTCCTGACTCTCTTAGGGGCACCTCCTATGAGACAGATGAGTGCTACAAGTTTCCGGCATGGTGCTTAGATCACTGGCATTGTGAGAAGTCCGCATATCCTGATTACTTTGCCAAGAAACAGTGGAACAAACTGCAGATAGAAAGCTGGGAGTGGGAGGTTACACAGCTGTAGGAGAAATACTGAAGACTGAAGCTTTACTTCCTGCCAGAAGGAAAACTTTCACCTGCTGTGGGTGGCATGTTCTGACCAGACCTCAGTAGAGGTTGGTGTAGATAGGACATCCCAGTTCATGCTTACAAGTGAGAGAAGTTACAGAACTTGTACACCCTGCCCTAATACAAATAAACATGAGAAAACAAAAAACATTGTCAAGAATGTGAAAAGGCCAGGTGTGGTGGCACATGCCTTTAATCCCAGCACTCAGGAGGCAGAAGCAGGTAGATCTCTGTGACTTCAAGGCCAGCCAGGACTACATAGTAAGACCCTGTCTCAAAAAAAATCGTAATAATAAATAAAAATCACAGAGCCTTCTTTTATCATTTATGTGAATTTTAGCTTCAGTATTAGTTTTTTTATTTTGTTTTTTTTTTTTTAATTGTAAAAACTTAAAACAGGTGGTGCATACCTTTGATCTCAGCACTTGGGAAGCAGAGACAGGTGGATCTTTGTGAATTCGAAGCTAGCCTGGTCTACATAATGAGTTCCAGGCCAGCTGGGGCTACAGGGAGACGCTGTCTCAAAAATACCCAAAACAAAAAAACTTAAAACAGTTTCCTTTCAGGTTATCCCAATATAGAGGCAAAATTTTAAATCTATTTCAGTCACAGTAAGTGTTGATTCTATGGAGATTTGTTTTTAAAAATCTGGAAAGGTATTTACAAACTTTATCTCTGTGACTAAGGAATTATTTTCCATCAGTTCCCTGTGAAATTAAATAATATTGCTCTTTCTGATGTAAGAACTAAATATTTTGAGTGCATAACAGGTTAAATTCCAGAGCAGGGAGGTGGAGGTTGGGTGGAGATGGCTTTACTCAGTAGGTTTACTTTTTCATGGAACTATTGATAGGAATGGCTTAAGGTGTTAATTTACAATGTTTTTATCATCTAGAGCTTAAAAAAATTAACAGATGTTATCACACTTCTAACTTTTAAAAAACGTATTTGAAATGTTTATAGGAATTAAAAGAAGACAATCAAGTTTTATTAGAAACAAAAACCATGTTGGAAGACCAACTAGAAGGAACTCGAGCTCGGTCTGACAAACTACATGAATTAGAAAAAGAGAATTTACAACTAAAGGCTAAACTGCATGATATGGAAATGGTAAGTTTTGTGGGATAAATCAATTTACTTGGCTTCTAAGGAAGAGTTCCCTATAACAACAGCTAAGTTCCCTATCATGACAAGGATAGCTTGAGCCCTTAAGACTTTAACTTAGAAGAGTTAAGGTTAAGATGCTTCCAACAGGGAAATTATTTTGTATGCATGACTTTAAAGATGCAGAAATGAAGCTAGCTGATAAAATTTAGCATTGGCTAGAATTATTTTGTTATATGAATAAAATATTATGTGAATGAACATTTTCATTGTGTCTCTAAAGATTATTAAAAGGATATCAAGCACCTGATCAGTAATGGTCAGTTATAACAACTGGTTATTGCCTTAAAAACTGAAATTTTTAAGCCAGGCGTGGTGGCACACGCCTTTAATCCCAGCACTCAGGAGGCAGGGGCAGGCGGATCTCTGTGAGTTCAAGGCCAGCCTGGTCTACATAGTGAGTTCCAGGACAGCTGGGGCTACAGGGAGACCCTGTCTCAAAAAGACCAAAAGAAAAAAACTGAAATTGTTAAAGGAATTAAAAATATATTATTCTGTTTCTAATAAATAAAAGTTAATGAGTGATGGCTAGAAATTACACTCTTTCTTAGCTTTCTTTACTCTTCCTACTCTGCCACTAAAAAGGAACGAGATATGGACAGAAAGAAGATTGAAGAATTAATGGAAGAAAATATGACTTTGGAAATGGCACAGAAACAAAGTATGGATGAGTCATTACATCTTGGCTGGGAGCTGGAACAGATATCCAGAACTAGTGAACTTGCTGAAGGTATTCCCTGTTTTGTTTCATTTAAATAGATGAATGAAGAAATGAGGTTGTATTTATATTCCCAAATATATCATTGCAATTCTTTACTTTCCCTAGCAAAAGATACTACAAGACAACCACTTATCTCAAATTATGATCTCACATACAAAAAAGAATATTTTTTACTTTTTTATATCTGGTCTTTACCTTTGTATGTCTTAAAACTCAGTTTTTTTATTTGTAACCTGAAATTTTTCCCTTCTTCTGTTTAAGACTATATTAAGGCTAGGTGTGGTGGGTGACTCACAAGTTTAATCTCGCCCTCTGCAGGCAGAGGGAAGTGGATTTCTCGAGTTCAAGACCAACCTGGGCTATATAATGAGTTCCAGGCCAGCTGGGGATACAGGGGGACCTTGTTTTAAAAACAAACACACAAACAAAAACTATATCTTCTCACCTCTTTAGGCATTGTATGACGTGGATGCACTTACATACATGCAGGCTAAACACTCATAAAAATAAATAGATTAAAAAAACCAAAACCTTTGATTTTTTTGAATTCATTAACAGATTTAGATGGTTGTGTATGCTCTATTTCAAATTAATATCACAAGTATTGGAATGCTAATTGGTTTCTTTTGAGAACTATAATCATCCAGTAAATAAAACAGAGTCATTTATCTGATCAACATATTTTTTGAATACAGACAAATCCAAATAGGAAATGGAAACAGAAGATTCTCATGTGAAAATATAGTCAGAATAAAGAATGTTAAAAATCTTCAGGGTTATGGCTATTTCTTAATGTATGTCCTTACCATTACAGGAATATACCTATCAGCTGCTCCATTACTAAAAATAATAAAAAAAAAACACCAGATAAATTTGTAACTTTAGTCAGGTGTGGTGGCACATACTTTTAGTCCCAGAATTCTAGAGGCCGAGGCAGGTGGATCTCTGTGAGTTAAAGGCCAGCCAGGGCTACACAGTGAGACCTTGTCTCAAAAACAAACAAACAAATAAATTTGTAACTTGAGTCCCCACCCCAGGCTCTTTCTTAAAAGTAGAACTAATTAAATACGGTTATTTAGGTTATAGCCTTGGATGTACTAATGCTGTTAACAGATTTTGGAAATGATAGCCAGGTCAGATTTACTCAAATTAGTTCCATAATTCCTAAATTGACCAGTATTAGATTATTTTTCCTGAATTTCTTGAGCAAATACTTACTGAATACCAAGTGTAAAATACTATACTAGGCTATGAAAACATAGTTTTTAGGTAGATGTAGGCTTTGAAAGAATTTGTAATCTGGTACTTAGAAATAATTACTTGTACGCAGAGATGTTTCATCCTAATATTACCTATTAAGTTTTTCCAGATTTTATAACTGAGAACCTGATACTAGTATTCCATGTACTGACTATGTAGTAAATAGTGAACTTTGTACAAATGTTTTCCTTAAAGTATTGTGTAACATTTTATTATTCCTTACGAATTGAGTTACAAAGGAAGCAACTAAGATTTTTCTGCCATTAAAAACCTCTGGAGACATGGCTTAGGTGGGTTCACTTCCCCGCACCCATGTGGTGACTAATAACTATCTGCCGATAACTTCAGTTCCAGGGAATCTGACACCCTCTTGTGACCTGTGCAGGCATTGCATGGATGTAGTGCACTTACTTACGTGCATACAAAATACTTAGACACATAAAAAAATTTAAAAGCCTGTGTATAAGCATGCATACTTGCTTGTGGAAGCCAAAGGACATCCCTTGGGTATCATTCATCAGGTGCCACTCACCTCCCCCTCTTTTTTAACTTGAGATAGGTTCTCACTAATCTGGAACTCTTCAAGTAGACTAGGCTGACTGGCCAGTGATCCCCAGAGATCTGCTTGTGTTTCTTTCCTTAGTGCTGTGATTATAAGCATGTGCCAGTGCACCTTCCTTTTTATCACATGGGTTTTGGGGATTGAACTCAGGTCCCCAAACATTATTGACAATATTCAACCTCTATTCATAAAAACACTTAACAAGTAAAGTAAAAAGAAAATGTAACAACATAATGAAGACTATGAGTGACAAGCTTAGCACTGTCACTGTCACCAATAATGAAAAATTGAAAACCTTTCTTGTTACTGTTATTAATAAGACAAGGATGTACACTTCTTTTTTTTTAAACTTTTAAAAATTTTATTTATTATTTTTATTTTATGTGTATGTGTGTATTGCCTGCACGTAGGTAAGTGCACCTGTGTCATGCAATGCCCATGGAGGTCAGAAGAGGCTGTCGGATCCCCTGGGACTGGAGTTACGGACAGTTGTTAGCTGCCATGTTGGTGCTGGAATTTTAACCTGAGTCTTCTGCAAGAACAACCAGTGTTCTTAACTGCTGAGCCATCTCTCCAGCTCTGGATGTACACTTCTTTTTAATGTAATATTAGAATTTTTACCCAGAGCACCTAGGCAAGAGAAAGAAATAAAAGGCTTCAAAATCAAAAAAGATTTGAATTGTATTTTCAGATAATAATAATCTTACATGTACCACAAAACTGTTAGAACTAAAAAAATAAATGATTTCAATAAAGTTGTAGTACATAAAATCAAAATAGAAAAACTGGTAGTATTTCTGTACGTTAGCAATAGACTATCCAAGGAAAATCAATAAAACAATCACACTTAAAATATCTATAAAAAATAAAGCCAAAGGATTGACAAGATGGTTCAGTGGGCTGCGAATCCTGATGACTTGAGTTCATGACCCAGGAACCACATGGTAAAAGGAAAAATCCAACTCATTCAAGTTGTCCTGCGACCTCCCTATGTCTCTGCATATACACACTATAAATAAATAAGATGTAATTTAAAATTTTAAGCTTTTAAATAAAACACATAAAGCTGGGCATGGTTGACGCGCGCCTTTACTCCCAACACTCTGGAGGCAGAGGCAGGCGGATCTCTGTGAGACAGACAGCTGAGGCTACAGGGAGACTGTTTCAAAAAGACCAAAAGTAAATCAGTCAATCACATAAAAATAAATTTAACCTGAGGCTGGAGAGATGGCTCAGTGGTTGAGAGTACGTGCTGCTCTTCCAGAGGGCCCTAGTTCAGTTCTTGGCACCCACATTGAACGGCTGACAAATACCTATAATTCCAGCTCCAACAGATCCTATGCTCTCTTCTGACCTTCATGGACACTTGCATACATGAAGTGTACACACAGACATGGATTTACACATAAATAAAAATAAATTAAAAACAAATTTAACCAAGGAAATGAAGATACCACTAAAAATATAGAACGTCCATAAAAAAGACAAATGTAAGGGTATCCTATATTCAGTAGTTAGAAAATTGATGTTAAAATATTCATACTACCTTAAATGATCTACAGATTCACTCCATTCTCTATCAAAATTCTAACATAACTATTTTCAGAAATGATAAAAAAAAAACAGGGTTCATTGTGATAGCTAGAATGATAACTCTAGAGCTGGAGACAGGAGAGTCATGCCTTCAATCCTGGTCTACATAAGTGAATTCCAGGCCATCCTGAGCTGTGATATCCTGTCTTAAGAAACAAACAAGCCAGGTATGGTGGTGCACACCTTTAGTGCCAGCACTCAGGAGACAGAGCAGGCTCTGTGAGTTCAAGGCCAGCCTGGTCTACATAGTGAGTTCCAGGCCAGTTGGGGGTACAGGGAGACCCTGTCTCAAAAAAAGGAAACAATCTTAACATTGATGTAGAAGCATAGAACACCCTGAGTAACCTAAACATTTTCAATCCAGTGACAATGAAAATTAATCATCACACCAATTTGGCAAGATGGAGAGGAAAGGAAACCCAAGCATAATCTTTATTGGAATATAAATTGCTAGAGACTTTTTGGAAGACTGTATGAAGGTTTCTAAAAAACTAAAAGCAGAACTAACATATGATCCAGCAGCCCCGCTCCTGGTTGTGAATGCAGCCAAAGGTTATGCAGTCGGGTTTATAAAAGATACCTGCCCTTCCATAAGTTCAGTACAACAGTATTCATAATGCCAAGACACTAAATCAGCCTAGTGTCTATCAACATATAGAGAAAGAAAATGTGAGGTGTATATATACACATATATGTGTGCCATACAAGATTGCGGCATATATATATATTGTGGAATATTACTCAACCTTAAGTCATGTCGCCAGGCATGGTGGCGCACACCTGTAATCCCAGCAATCAGGAGATAGAGGCAGGTGGGAACTCTATGAGTTCGAGGCCAGCCTGGTCTACATAGCAAGTTCCACCCCTGTTGGGGCTACAGGGAGACCCTGTCTCAAAAAAAGACCAAAGAAAAAAGAGATCATGTCATTTGAAGTGACATGGATGAACTTGGAACTTGGAGGACATTATGTTAAAGGAGCCAGATGAAAGATAAATACTTCATGATCATACTTGTGTAAGCTTTAAAAATCTGGTGGTTAACGGAAGCTGTTGAATGAGATGTTGGACAAAGGACACCCAATTTTAGATAGAAGTAAGTTCATGAAGGAAGAACTGATCCTTTTTTTTATTATTTTTTTTTTATTTTATGTGTATGAGTGTATCGCCAGCATGTATGTGAGTGCACTCATGTCGTGCAGTGCTGCGGAGGTCAGAAGAGGGCTTCAGATTCCCCTGGAACTGGAGTTAAAGACGGTTAGTAGCCGCCATATGGGTGCTGGAAATTGAACCTGGGTCCAGAGGACAGTCAGTGCTCTTACTGCTGAGCCATCTCTCCAGTCCCATATTTTAATTTTTTTTTTTTTAAGCAGGGTCTCCCTGTAGCCCCAGCTGTCCTGGAACTCACTATGTAGACCAGGCTGGCCTTGAACTCACAGAGATCTGCCTGCCTCTGCCTCCCGAGTGCTGGGACTACAGGCATGCACCACCACGCCTGGATATTTTAATATTTTTAATGCAAAAAAGGAGATTGAATTGACAATAGTACTACACTCAAGAACAATGTAAGAGCCCAGCATGGTGACACATGACTTTTATCCTAGCATTTGGAAAGTAGAAGCAAATCTCTGTGAATTCTAGCCCAGCCTAGCCTGTATAGCCAGTTCCAGGCCAGCTGGGGCTACATAGTGAGGAGATCTTGTCTGATCCAGTGTTTTCCTAACACTGCGAGTGGGGAAAGAAATGACATCATTCAGTTGTTCCTATGCCATATTTTAATATATTTTATAAGAGAAAACCAGATTTACAAAAGGATGATGATAATAGATTTTAAAATATTTTCAGCATGCTCAAAATATTCACTTAAAAAATACTTTCACCTAAAGGTTAGAGAGATGACTCAGTGGTTCAGATCGCTGGCTTGCTCTTGCAGAGTACCTGGCAGCTAACGGTTGTCCCTAACTCCAGTTTCAAGGGATCCGACACCCTCTGCCTTCCATGGGCATAGCATGACACGGATGCACTTGTAGGCAAAACTCATACACATAAACTAAAAATAGAGTAAAAAAATTTAAAAAAATAAAAAACTTTAACTGAAAATGAAAAAGTAGTGGTGTATTTCAGGTTGTTTTTTTAAATCCTTTAGGAGGTGCCATTTTAAACATTGAATCCTGTAAGTTTATAACTCAATTTAAATCACATTGTGTGTTTGATTGAGACAGGCTCTCATGTACCCCAGGCTGGTGTCCAATTCACTATATAACTAAGAATGTACTTGAATCCTTGATCCTCTTGGTGTTTCCTTCAAAATACTGGGATTAAAAATGTGTGACACCTCAGCTGACTTAAATAATATTTTTGGTGAAATAAATGTAGTAAAAAGCTGAGCATGGTAGCACACACTTAATCCCAGCACTCAGGAAGTGAGTTAGAGGCCATCCTGGTTTATAAAGTTCTAGGTCAGCTGGGTTATAGGGATACCCTGTCTCAAAAAGACCAAAATAATTAATAAATTAATTAATTGCTTAAGAAATTAGTGGAATTTTAAAATTCAGTGATTAGCCAATAAACATTTTTCTTTTAGACAAAGTCTTAGTACATAACCCTGCCTGGCCTAGAACTCACAGAGATCCATTTGCTTCTTCCTCCCTAGTGTTGGGATTAAAGCCAAGCACCACTATGCCCAGCTTTTCAGTAATCTTTCAGTTAAACATAGCAATATATCTAGAACAAAAGCTATAATTAAAAATAGACCCCTTTTTTACTTGAACTATGAGATCCATTTTTGAAGAAGAATATGGCCAGTCAAGAATACTTCTTGATTTTTTCCAAATTATTTACTAAAATTCTTCAACTGCCTTTTGATTTTCGAAGTTGCGGGATGGTTTTTGTTTTGTTTTGTTTTTATTTTATGTGTATGAGTATTATGCCTGCATGTAGGTAAGTGCACCCGTGTCGTGCAATGCCCACAGAGGACAAAAGAGGCTGTCAGATCCCCTGGAACTGGAGTTATGGACGGTTGTTAGCTGCCTTGTGGATGCTGGGATTCAAACCTGGGTCTTCTGCAAGAACAGTTAGTGTTCTTAACTGCTGAGCCATCTCTCCAGCCCTCCGAAGCTGCAGTTTAAGATAGGCTTTACGTTTCTTAATTTGAGTTCCACAGTGATGTGAGATTGCAGGGAAATGCCTGCAGTTTATAAAACTAACCCAAGAGTCATTGAGGGTAAATGTTGTGATTTTTCCAAATTAATTTCTTTTAGAACTAAAACTCTGTAGTCTCTTTAGTCTAAATTTTTACTTTAAAAGTTCAAGATTTAGCCAGGCGTGGTGGCGTACACCTTTAATCCCAGTATTTGGGAGGCGGAGGTGGGCGGATCTCTGTGAGTTCAAGGCCAGCCTGGTCTACATAGTGAGTTCCAGGACAGCTGGGGCTACAGGGAAACCCTGTCTCAAAAAGACCAAAAAAAAAAAAGTTCAAGATTTAACTTCCATTTATTTTTTTTTTATTGTGTCTCTTAATGTAACAAGTTTTATAAAGATCAGATGTTAAATTATAAAGTTAAAGATCAGTGCATTAATAGTCAATATTTTGAATATTATGTAGGAACATTTTTTACCAATGACATGTTTTTCAATGTCACAGCACCACAGAAATCTTTGGGCCATGAGGTGAATGAGTTGACATCAAGTAGGTTATTGAAGTTGGAGATGGAAAATCAGAGTTTGACAAAAACTGTAGAAGAGCTTCGAAGCACTATGGACTCTACAGAGGGCAACACCTCCAAAATCCTAAAATCTGAAAAAGAAAATCAAAGACTGAATAAAAAGGTAAATTAAAATGCAGTCTTTATTGTAATAGTAAATATATTAGTATGAATAAATAACACATTATTTTCCATTACTGCATCCTTGATATTGTTGAAGCTCTTTTTCAAGTGTTCATAAGTGGAATGAGTGAACTCTTTGTCATTCAATTTCAAGAGTGATGACCTTGGATTGGGCTTAGGCTATAGCTGGTAGAGTACTTGCCTGGCATAAGGGAGATCTTAGATTTACCCAGGTACTTCAAAAAAGAAATGAAGAAAAACAAAATTAGAGCTGATTTTACTTCATTTTTATACCTTCTTCTCCCCTACAACCTTATGATTATATTGAAGCAAATCCTAGACTGCATCATTTCAACAACAAAGCATTTGAGCATAAATCTCTAAAAAGTAAGGAATGTTGAGAAATAAGAACGATGACAGCCTATCTAGAAAATTAACTTTTGTTGTTGAGAAAGTGCCTCCTCATGTTACCTGCCACCGTAACCAACTGAAAAATCCTGAGGTTTTTTTTGTTTTTTGGGGGGGGGTCTTTTTGAGACAGGGTCTCCCTGTGGCCCCAGCTATCCTGGAACTCACTATGTAGACCAGGCTGGCCTTGAACTCACAGAGATCTGCCTGCCTCTGCCTCCCGAGTGCCGGGATTAACGGCGTGCATCACCACAGAAAAAATCCTTTTTGAAGAAAGTACATCAAATATTTGTTCATGTTTTCCATTTCCTTGACTCTATTATTGTCTTTTTTTTAACATTGTGAGTTTTTCATTTTTGGTTTGATTTGGTTGGTTGTTTTTTTTTTTGAGACAGGGTCTCAGTGTGTTGCCCTGACTGGACTGGAACTCTCACTCAGAGAGACAGACCTGTTTCTGTCTCCAGAGTGCTAGGATTAAAGGCATGTGCCATCATGCCTGCCTACATTGTGTTTTAAACTGAATCCAGCTGGGATGCACCACACTCAATGTATTCCTAAAAGTGGTTTTTTTGTTGTTGGTGGTTGTCTATAATACCCAGCACATTTTCTGTTGACAAAATCACTCTACTAATTTGTCATTAATCTAGATTTGATTGGTTCCTTTGTTCTGGCACTTAGCAATTTTTTTTTCCTATATGTCTTCTTTTATCTAGAGACTTAATGTGGATTTAAATGATTTTCTTTGAAAAGCATTTCTAAAAGTATATCTCATTCAGGAGATATATCTGCTTTATCTATTTATTATGTCATGGAAAGTCAGTTCCAATGATTAGAGGTTTAAAACATCCTAAAATTCTAATTGCATCATTCTTTCATAATTCATTAATTGAATTTACTACAAAGAAAAATCTTTTAAAATCCATTTTTAAAGCTCCCTTATTAAATGAACAGCATGAATAGCTCACAGGAAAAGAGCATATTTCTTTCCCTTTTTTACAAATTCTTAATAATGAACTGATCTTCCATGTGCTCTTTAGATAACTGAGATTGTTTGTTTTAGCGTTATTGAGGGCTCATAGATTTTAAAGTATTTGATGCATTTCAGCCCACTACGTTTATTATTACTATCTTTCCCAATGTGAACTAGTGAGAGCCTGTTAAAAAGTGCTCTAAGCTCATTTTTAACATTTTTGTCCTGGACCTTTTAGAAGCAGGAATTTTTTTCAAAAAGTTACTATTTTAGTGGGAAATGCTTTTGTTGTCCTTTTGTTTTGTTTTGTTTTTGAGACAGCATCTCAAACTCTAGACTAAACAGGCTGAGAACTCACTATGTATCCCAGGTTAGCCTTGAACTCATGGTGATCCTTTTGCCTCCTGAATGCTGGGGTTACAACCATGTGCCATCACATTAGTGGGAAGTAGCATTTATGGACCACAATTTAACATTATGGAAAACTGAATTTTTTAAGAATTATTTTTACCATTTTTATTTGTATGTATGTGTTAGTGTCTCTTGTCCGTGGGTGCCCCTGGAGGCTAGAAGGAGGCATCAGGGAATCCCCTGAAACTAGAGTTTCAGGTAATTGTGACTCACCCAGTGTTGGTGCTGGGAACTGAACTCTCTCTAGAAGAGCAGGAAGCATTCTTAACCACCGAACCATCTTCATGAATGAACCAGTCTTCATGAATTTTAACTAGACTTTCATTGTACAGTATAATTCAATTGTATAACAAACCAAATAGTTCATTTTAGAGATCTTTTTGTGGCTTATGTCTAGTAGTATCATATCACACAAAAAAATACATAATCAGACAGAGGGTATAGCTCAATTTGAGTCCTTGCCTAGAATGGATGAAAACCTTGGTTTGATTCCCTAGCACCACGTAAACAGATGTAGTATAATATACGTATAATCCTAGCACTCAAGATAGGAAGGTAGGATGTTTAAATTCAAGGTCATCCTTGGCTCCATAGTGAGCTCAAGGCCAGACAAGGCTACATGAAATCCTGTCTCAAAAAGCAATAACAGAACATCAAAGCAAAATAAAACAAAAAAATTCAAGGGTGGCAGTGAGATGGCTTACCGAGTAAAAGAACTTGCCATGAAAGCTAACAACCTGAGTTTGGTCCCAGAACCCAGGGTGGAAGGAGAGAATCAACTTCCAAAAGTTGTCCTCTACTTCCATATGTGGGCTATGACATGCATGCACCCTTATTCATACTTACATCATACATAATAATGAATAAAATACTATTTATTTTAATACATAGTATTACTGTATAGCCTTGACTGGTGTGGATCCTTGCTTGTAGACCAGGCCAGTCTTCAGGCAGATCCAGAGATGATTAAAGGCATGCACCACCACATCTGGCCAATAAAATAAAATATAAACAGATGAAAATAAATATATACATTTATTTACACTTTTTTTTTTTTTGTCTTTTTTGAGACAGGGTCTCCTTTTAGCCCCAGCTGTTCCTGGAACTCACTATGTAGACCAGGCCAGCCTTGAACTCACAGAGATCTACCTGCCTCTCCCTCCCAAGTGCTGGGATTAAAGGCATGTGCCACCACGCCTGGCACATTTATTTACATCTTATTTCTAAGAAGTTTCTAGGTAATACTTATTCCTTCCTGGTAGACATGCTTTAAGAACCAGTACTAAGATTTTTCAAATAGTCTCATTGGTTTTTTTGTATGTGGTATGTGTGTACATACATGTTCATACAAGTGCAAGTGTATGCATGCATGTGGAGATCAAAGATCAATGTCAAGTGTCTTCCACAGTCATTCTCTACCTTATTTTTTGAGACGGGGTCTCCCACTGAACCTGTTTGCCTAGACTGGACTGGCCAGTGAGTTGTAGGGGCCCATACTCAGTCCTCGTGCTTGCACAGCAAATGCTTTTCCAACCAAGCCATCTCCCTAGATCCCTCTTGCAAGATTTTTGCCATTTTAAAACGTTTTTGTAGCATTTGAAATTTGCCCTGTTCCGATTTTTTTCTGGTTCCCTGTCTAGAATTTGTAATGCTAATAACTACTCTTGCCTTTACTTGTCTTTCACATCTCCTAAGCACCATTCAAGGGCTTTCTTTTCTCCCTGCAGATAAGAGTTATACAATTTGGGAGTCTTTTAGATAGACTGACTGCAGGGGTACCCCAGTTGCCTCACCCTGCGTCCCTGTTCAACATGGAAGAAGCCAGAGTGGTCTGCACCCCGATTCCCTTATCAGCAATTTGGATTGCCTCTTTAGAGGATGTTGTGATAAGAATGGGAGGTAGAAATTGACTAGGCAGTTAGGGTAAAAAGGCCCCAAAGAAAAGTAGCCAGTTTCTTGGCTAAAAGTCAAAATGTCCTTGGGCCTCTTAGCAACATACTCTGTTCCAAAGGCCGAAAATGTCAAAAATATTTGGGAGCTCTATCTAATCCCTAAAAGAGTTACCTCTTCAGAGAGTAGCAAAAAGCCCCGGGGGGGGGGGGGGAGGAGTACATGAAGTTGTAAGAAAAAAGTGATAAGGAGATATGGGAGGTGTTTGGGGGGCAGGGAGTGGGCATGGATTTTATCAAAACACCTTATATATGCATGTATGAAATTCTCAATAAAGTTTTTTTTAAAAAGTTTAAAAAAAAAAAAAAACTCAGCAAACGTCAAGATTCCCATGGCCCTTTCCCTATCCAAAGTTATACAAGCAATAAACAGTTGTTGGGGAGGGTCTAGAACTAGTCAAACTGTCTGCAAGTTGGGCTGAAGCTTCAAGGATTCAACTTTTGTGAGTTACCCATGCTTGGGTGGGCTTTTCAATAGTGCAACTACCTTTGAGTCGCCCATGCTGCTCTAAGTAACGTTTTTCCCATGTTCCGTAATCAACCCCAATAAAATCATTTGTTCACACACACACAAAAATACCCTTAATAAGAAAGACACAAAGAGTTACAGTGCATATCCTCTGTCAAAGAGTGCCGTTGTAAGTTGTTGGCATTTTCAAAATGGCAATGTTATCTGGCTGTGTACCAGTACTTGGAACACTCAGGGAACTCCAATTGTGAATAAATAAGGCCCATTTCTGTTGAGCACATTGGTCATTTTATGAAAAATAAGTGCTTCATATGTGTTCAAGAAGATTGGAATGTAGTATTAGTATACTTCTTTTTACAGATAAAGTGTATGACTACTTTAAAAAAAATTTTGTATTGATTTTTCCTTAGTCCATCAACCTAATAATTTTGATAAACAGATCTGATACTAAAGTAGGAGCACTTGCAATAGTTTAATTCTGATTGTCACCATAAGGTATAGCTGCATTTTGAAACTAACTTGGGGATCTAAGAAAAAAATGATTCTGGGGCTGGACAGATGGCTCAGCGGTTAAGAGCACTGACTGCTCTTGCAGAGGACCCAGGTTCGATTCCCAGCACCCACATGGCGGCTACGAACTGTCCTTAACTCCAGTTCCAGGGGAATCTGACGCCCTCTTCTGAACTCCGCAGCATTGCACGACATGGGTGCACTCACATACATGCAGGCAATACACTCATACACATAAAATAAAAATAATTTTTTTTAAAAAGGAATAATTGATTCTACCAACTTTTGGTCAGTTCATTATATGAAGGAACAATGTAAACTAAGTACTTCATTTCCACTCATTGATGTAAAACAACTAGTGGATCTCAACATTTATATATTGTGTTAGTTATTTTTCTTGTTGTGATAAAATACCCTGACAAAAATCAACTTAAGGGAGAAAGGGTTTATTATGGCTCCCAGTTTGAAAGCACAGTCCATCAATGATGCCACAATCATGGTGCAGGAGCTTGAGGCAGCTGGCATTGCATCCACTTAGGAAGCAGAGAAAGATGAATGCCGATGCTCAGCTCACTCTGTCATTTTACATAATCAGGATTCCCTGTCATCAAAGAGTTCATTCTGCCCACAGTTAAGGGTTTTCCCTCATCAGTTAACCTAATCATTGTAATCCTTCATATATTCTGAGAGGCTAACCTTAATTTAGATAATCCCTTACCTCTATGAGAGCCTGTCTCTTGCTGATTCTAGATCCTGTCAGACTGACAGGCAGCACTGACCCTCTACACATATTTCCATCTATAATAAGGTAAACCAGGTTAGTTATTAATAAAGTTTTCTGAACATGTAAGATAATGTTCAATTTAGTTTACTGCATAGGATTTATGGTTTCATGCATTTAAGATACTTCTGTAAGGTCCTTTTTTATGGGTATGTATTTTCCATTATTATCAAAATTGACAATTTCAACTTGCTTTAGAGTTCTTCTATTAACCTACAATTTTAAAATATAAAATTGAAGTGTAATATTTTATAAAAGTCTTTATGTAAGCTTTCTGTCACTGACAAAATACATGAGATAAACAACTTGTAAGGAAGAAAAACTTTTTTTCACTCTTGGTTCAGAGGTTTCAGCCCTTGGAGGACTGGCTCCATTGCTTCTCGGCCTGTGGTAAAACAGAATGTTTTGGCTGGAGCACATGGTGAAGCAAAGCTGCTCACCTTATGGCAGCTGGGAGGCAAAGCAAGAAAGAAGATGGTGTAGGGATCCTAGCTTCCCTTGCCAGGGCAGTGGTGTAGCTTCCTTCCACTGACCTGCCTCCTGTAGGTCACTAGCAGCTAACACGTGGGATGTAGGGGAATGCTGTAAGTTCAAAATATAATGTCTCCATATAGCTTTAAATTTGTGTCAGAGTCAATTTAGGGCAGGAACATAGCTCAGTGGCATGTGTTTCCCTAGCATACCCAGTACAACACCCCGGGTTTTAATCTTCAGGATTCCAAAAGTAAGTCGATCCTTAAACCTTTTGTGGGGTGGTTGGTGATACAAGGTGTCATTGCATAAGTCTTATCTGGAATTCATGGCAACACTCCTGCCTCACTCTCCTGAATGCCAGGAGTATAAACATATGCCATCAAACCTGGCCTAAAACACAAGCCTTTGCTGCAGTTGTTGTTTGTTGTGTATTACCTTGTTTTCTCCTACATTATGCTTCCTTCTTCCTTTTTCCTTTTATTTTAGAGCAAGTCCCTTCATGTTTGCTTTTTCATTAAACTTTTACTATCGCATTTCCCTATCTACCTCTTTGTTCCTTTTTGATCTTGTCCTTTGTTCCTGAAATTCTTTGACTAAAATCAAAATACTATACTACAAATCTACTCCAACCAAGAGCCTTTCAGTAAGATTTATGTGGTCCTCATTACTACATCATGATCATTTATTCTGCTGAGTTTGGCCCTGTATTTCTAAATAGAAATTGCCCTAACACAAAGAGATAAGGAGCCGTATCTGCGGTTTATATAGCTACTAAAATGATATGGACCTATTTGAACATCTAAATGAAATTTGTAACTTTCTCCATTTGGATATTAAAACTATTTCATCCTTGATTAAATAGTTCTCTTTTGTTTTGTTTTGACATGTTCCCTCTGTTCTTGAGTATTTAATGTGTTGTTTTGTGGTTTAATTTTCTCTAGGTTGAAATTCTTGAAAATGAGATAATTCAGGAAAAGCAGAGTCTTCAGAATTGTCAGAATTTAAGCAAGGATCTAATGAAGGAGAAAGCTCAGCTTGAAAAAACAATCGAAACACTTAGAGAAAATTCAGAGAGACAGGTTTGTATGTTTTCTACTTCGACAGTGTATTTTACAAACTTTTATTTTAAAGTAAATGTTCATATATCACTGCAAGGAACTATCCTAGAAATTTTTAATTTCAAGCTAACTACAATAGCTCCCCCTTGTGCATAGTTTTGCTTTCTACAATTTGAGTTGCCTGCAGTCATCCACAGTCCAAAAATGTTGTCTGTCAATGTCTGTCCAGCTATGCTTCCAGAAGTCAGCAATCATAAATTTTAAACTGTCTGCCATTCTGAGTAGTATCTTGAAATCTTGTCCCTTTCCATACCCTGTAGGACATGAATTGTCGCTTTGTCTCAACATGTTCGTGCTGTTTTCACTACCTATTAGTTACTTGCTAGTCGTAGTATCACAGTGCTTTCCTTCAAGTAGCACTTCATGTAATAATGGCCCCAAGTTCTATGAGCAGTGGTATTAGCACTTGAGAAATGTAAGAGAAACTGTTAAGTGCTTCCTTTAGTTGAAAAAGTAAACTTAATAAGGAAAGAAAAATATGCTGAGGTCTGTGATACATTATTGTTAATGTCTTACTATTCTTGATTAGAAGTTAAACTGTGATCAGTGTTGTGTGCAGGGGAAAAAAAAAAGTACATACAAATTAGAAGACCCATTTGCAGTTTCAGGTGCCCAGTGAGGATCTTGGAATGTGCTCCATCTGGATGAGGAGGGACTGCTGTCTAATTTTACACTTGTGGGGGGGGGTCTTTTTGAGACAGGGTCTCCCTGTAGACCCAGCTGGCCTGGAACTCACTTTGTAGACCTGACCTTGAACTCAGAGATCCGCCTGCCTCTGCCTTGTGAGTGCTGCGATAATTTTACATTTTCTATACCATGTATTTTAGGAAATTTGAAGAGAAAGCTTAGAAAATACTAAATTGCCAGTGTGCCTAATAATAATTTAATATAAAATTTTTTCAGTACTTGTGCTTTTTAAGTGTGTGAATAACACTGCAGATTTTAAAGAGAAGTTGGAAAAAAATGTAGTGGTATTCTGATCCCACTAACAAGGGAATGTGTAATGGCAGCAGACAACTTGGCTACTGTCAGATTTGCTTTCAAGTGGTTTTTGAACATTCTTAGGATTTGAAGAAATAACTTTAGACTGAATAACTTGCCAGTTTGAATTTTCTACTATGTATAGTCCTCAGGCCACCAGTAAAAATGCAAACTTCTCTAGAGTACAAACCAAAAATTCTGGAGTTAAATATGTATTCGCAGTTTTACAACTTTCTTATGATTATTTAATATATAGAAGATCGAAACTCATGTCAGAATATGCTATAAATTGGGTGAATTTATCAGAGGTACTGGGTCATTTTGTTGTTTACATGTTACCTAATTAAAATTCTTACTAAGAATGGTATGTGTAACTATGAACAATCTGAAGACAGTTTTAATAGTAAATGTGTCTCTCATAGCCATTCCTTTAGACTGTGAACTTCCTAAAAACCATCTACTTTAGTCACCTGGTAGTACATACGCAAATTCATTTTTCAGTAAGTATTTGTTAGAATGAAAGCAGTAAGACATACATCCTTGTACTCAAGTTCTTTCCGTGTTAGTTTTTGAAAGTTTAAAAACTGTATATATGGGCTTGAAAGACGACTCAGTGGTTAAGAGCAATGACTGCTCTTGCAGATGACCCAGGTTTGATTCCTAGCACCCACATGGTGGCTAACAATTATCCGTAACTCCATTTCCAGGGGATCCAACACCTTCTTCTGACCTCCATGGGCATTGCATGACATGGGTGTACCTACCTACATGCAGACAATACACTCATACACATAAAATTAAAATAATAAATAAAATATTTTTTAAAACTGTATTTACTCATTGTAATTTAAACTTTTCATTTTTAAATATAGATTAAAATATTGGAACAGGAAAATGAACATCTGAACCAAACAGTGTCTTCCTTACGACAGCGCTCCCAGATAAGTGCAGAAGCAAGGGTAAAAGACATTGAAAAAGAAAATAAGATTCTCCATGAGTCCATTAAAGAAACAAGTGGGAAACTGAGCAAGATTGAATTTGAAAAACGGCAAATTCGAAAAGAACTGGAGCATTATAAAGAAAAAGGAGAGCGAGCGGAAGAGCTTGAAAACGAGTTGCATCGCCTCAGAAAAGAAAGTGAACTGCTACAGAAAAAGATAACGAACTTAAAGATCACTTGTGAAAAAATTGAGACATTAGAACAAGAAAATTCAGACCTAGAAAGAGAAAATAGAAAATTAAAAAAAACATTGGACAGCTTTAAAAACCTTACTTTTCAGTTAGAATCCCTGGAAAAAGAGAATTCCCAGCTTGATGAGGAAAACCTGGAGCTGCGAAGGAACGTGGAATCGTTGAAGTGTGCTAGCATGAAAATGGCTCAGCTGCAACTGGAGAACAAAGAACTGGAAAGTGAAAAGGAGCAACTTAAGAAGGGCTTGGAGCTCATGAAAGCCTCCTTCAAGAAAACAGAACGCTTGGAAGTTAGCTACCAGGGATTAGACACCGAAAATCAAAGACTGCAGAAAGCTCTAGAAAATAGCAATAAAAAAATTCAGCAATTAGAGAGTGAACTACAAGACTTGGAAATGGAAAATCAGACATTACAAAAAAACCTAGAAGAACTGAAAATCTCTAGCAAAAGACTAGAACAACTGGAAAAAGAAAATAAATCATTAGAGCAAGAGACATCACAACTCGAAAAGGACAAAAAACAATTGGAGAAGGAAAATAAGAGACTCCGACAACAAGCAGAAATAAAAGATACCACATTAGAAGAAAATAATATAAAAATCGGAAATTTGGAAAAAGAAAACAAAACATTGTCAAAAGAAATTGGTATATATAAAGAATCTTGTGTTCGTCTGAAAGAATTAGAAAAAGAAAATAAAGAACTTGTGAAAAGAGCAACTATCGATATCAAAACTTTGGTTACATTACGTGAGGTAAATATATTCACCTAAATTTAAAGGAGATAGTTTTTAATCTCTGTAACCTAGCATTTAAGTTTTATTGATGCAGTAATTTGTATAATCTTTTGTCTGGTTCAGTAGAATTTTGGAATTAGTACTTGAAACAGCTGTTAGGTTTCCTACTTTTATTAAGTCAAAAGTACATATAAATTATCTTTTTAAGATTGTTAGTAATAGGGTTTTAATAATTAGATTGAGTGCTTTGTAAATTGTACTCATGTAAATTTATATAATTTTCACAACCAATCCTTTTAAATGTTATGTGTCTTTCGAGCTGGATGTGGTGGCACACGCCTTTAATCCTAGCACTCAGGAGGCAGTGGCAGGTGGATCTCTGTGAGTTCGAGGCCAGCCTGGTCTACATAGTGAGTTCCAGGTCACCTGGGGCTACAGGAAGACCCTGTCTCAAAAAAAAAAAAGACCAAAAAAAATTTATATATTATGTCTTTCATATATTAATAAATAGGTTCAAAACATCAAGTAACTTACTCAGGATCACACAGTTAACAAAGGGAAGAATTGAATTCTGATTTCAAACTCGGGTTTTTCAGTCTCCAAAGGCCTGTGATCTTTTTGAGAAGCCTCGGAATGAAAATGAGGTTCAACTTAAACATCAGCTCTGAATAAATGGTACTTGATTCAGTCCACGTGTTGAGAATTCTGAAATTTATAGGATTTGATTAGTCATATGTTCTGTGATACATGTGGGTGTAATCAATCACAAAGTAGCTTCTTTTTACTTTTCTGTCTTTTTGTTTTGTTGCCATACCTGTCTAATACATCTGTGATAGTTCTTTAAATTCAATTATAAAGTATTCTAGGGCTGGTGATATAGTCTAGTGATAGAATGCTTGCTTATCATACATAAGGCCCTGGGTTCAGTCAGGGGTGGGGGGGGGCGGCGACAGCAAGGACGATGATGCCTTACACTTTTGCAATCAACATTTCTAATAAAGAGATGTTAAGAAGGAGCTTTCTTTTTTTTAATTGATTTTCTGTTGTTCTATAGTCTCACACCCATGAACAATGGTTGCTTGTACCTAAGCTAATAAAAGTGTGCCTAGTTCTTCAGTATCTTAGGCCTCTTCTCTCATGAGGAGGGGACTGGTGGTAGTGGAGGCATGTTCTGGCCAACATAGATTCATAGGAAGAAACCTACAGTAAAGTTTTTGTGTTTCATTAAAGTCCATTGATATATTGGAGGTTTATACAAACCAAAGTTGTATATTTTACCAATAAAGAATTTCTTCTAGTCTTGCAATATTAGGATTATAGAGAAGTATCAGGACAGGAAGTTTGTTTTGTTTTGTTTTTAGTGGTTTCAACTGGGTTATAATGTACTGCTTAACTAGTTTTTGGTAATGAAAGAAAGGTTCATTGACATTTCTTTCTTAATTCAAAGTGTGTCTTTTTGGGTGATAGTTATTAGAAACGTGGCTGAATTTCCTAGATGTTCATGTTCTTGATACTTAAGTGTGTTGTACATTCTTTTCAAAATAAGGATTTAGTGACTGAAAAACTGAAGACTCAACAAATGAACAATGATCTTGAAAAATTAACTCATGAGCTTGAGAAGATAGGGTTAAATAAAGAGAGACTCTTACATGATGAGCAAAGTACTGATGACAGGTGAGTGTTGTGTTTAGCAAATGGTTGCAGTTTCTATTTGGGAATTTTTTGCTCTAACAATAATATCTTACTATACTTACTACAAAAGCAATTTATGTATTTTCCCAGTTTCTGGTTCCTTTCTTCTCTTCAAGAAAGGTTTTATAAGGAAAAAAAAGGAGTTAAGAACAGCCTAATAACTATATAAGACAAATGGTATACAAATTCAAAGTACAAAATAAGATGCTACCCAGATGAACTGCCTTTGAAAGTTGATCAACAACAAGCAAACATTCCTTTAGAGAAACATTTGGTTAATTAAACATTTTATTTTTCATTTGCCTGAGTGGCTCAGTTCTTTTATTTTTTTTGCTAAATGTGGACTTAAAAAGAAAAAATGAAACAAAGTAAAATATACTGAGAAGCAATTAATATACGAAAACGAAGATTTGACAACAGGATAAAGAATTAATTTTTAAAATAATTGTTACAAGCTGGGTGTGGTGATGCATACCTCTAGTTCCAGCACTTGGGAGGCAGAGGCAGGTGGAGCTCTGTGAGTTCAAGGCTAGCCTGGTCTACATAGTGAGTTCCAGGCCATCTGGGGCTACAGGGAGACCCTGTTTCAAAAAGACCAAAATAATAATAATAATAATTTTTAAAATTTCTGTTCTTCTATGATAGTCACAGTCTTTCAACTATAATTACTCTGATTTTTCAAGTAGTTTTCTATTTAGTGTCCAAAGTGCCATGTGTTTCAGCTACACTAGAAGTCTACTATTAGGAATATTATTTTGGGGGCTAATGAGATGGCTCAGTGGGTAAAGGCATCTGTTGTCAAGCCTGATGACCTGAGTTGAACCCCAGGACCCACATGGTGGGAGGAGAGACCTGACTTCTATAACTTATGCTCTGACTTCCACACACATGTGTGGCATGCACACACACCCCTGTGTGTGTGTGTGTGTGTGTGTGTGTGTGTGTGTGTGTGTTTGAATTTTTAAAGTATTATTTTGGGCTGGGGAAATAGCTTGGTAGATAAAGTACTCGCCATGCAAACGTGGAGATCAGAGTTAGGATCCCCAAAACCTTAATGAAAGCCCAGTGGGCATATGGTGGCCTGTTATCTCTGGAGCAGGCTAACTAGCTAGGTGAGCTGCAGTTGGCCCACTCCTGGGTCAGCAAGAGACCTGCTTCAACAAATAGGGTGGGAAGGAGGGAGGGAGGGAAGAAGGGAAGGGAAAAGGAAAGGGGAAGGGAAGGGAGGAATCTACTTAAGGGCTGGGAGATGACTAGCATGAGGACATAAGTGTGGATCCCTAGCACTCTTGTAAAAAGCTAAGTGTAGCTGTGCATGCCTGTAACTGATGGAGGTCCTCTGGGGCTTGATGGCCACCAGCCTAGCCTAAAAACGACCAGCTCCAGGTTCACTGAGAGACCTTATCAGGGACTAAGGCAAAGAGCAATAGAAGAGGGTACCCAAATGCCCTCCTCTGCCCTGTGGACACATGCATATGTCACATACACACAAGTTTTTCTTTTTTAATTTTTTGTTGAGCTTTTGTACATTTCATATAACAGTTCTTAATCAAATTTAGACCCCCTGTCCCATTTATGCCACCCCACCCCCACCAGACTTCATGTAGTCCACCATACATGTTAAGTCCTATCCAGTCAAATATTTGTACCCAAATGTCCTTCAGTGCAAATTCATTCACTGGAGTCTAGTCAGCCTGTATCTAGAGGTCATTGGTAAGGCCTCATCCAGTAGTAATCAGTCTCCAGTAATTTCTAGACTAGGGTCAACCAACTACCTGTTTCCCTCACACCACTCGGGGTCCTGTGCTCCATGCCACCATTGCCACAAGTTCACATGTGTAAGCTTCCAGTAGCCTGAAACCTTCTGCTTCCCTGTGTTCATGGACCAACCCTGGATCTTACAATCTTTCTGCCCCCTGTTCTGCAGTGGTCCCTGAGCCATGGGTGGGAGAGGTTCAATACAGGAGTCCTACCCAGGGTCACACACTCTGCAGTCTCTTATTCTTTAAAAGTTCGTCAGTTGTGGCCTTTTGTGTGCATCACAAAAGAAGGCGTCATTGGTGAGAGTTGAGGGATGCACTAGTTTGCTTTCTACCCCCCTTTCCACTGTGTTCCATGAGTCTTAGGGGTAGAGGTTCCACTGTAGATATGTCACCTAGTACTGAGCATCTCTCAGATGTATATTCCCTGTGTCTGACCAGTTGTGGGATTCTGCAGTAGCCTCCATCTGTTGCAAAGAGAAGCTTCTTTGATGAATGGTGTACAGTATGCTTGTCTGTAAATATAAGGATCCATATTTAGCATATGGTACAAAATTTCATTTTCCCAGAGTATGACAGAAATAGGGTTTTCTCTAGGATCTATGACCTCTCTAGCCATACACATGACACACACACAATTTAAAAAACCTTCTTGCTGGGTGTGGTGGCACACGCCTGTAGTCCCAGCACTTGGAAGGCAGAGGCAAGCAGATCTCTGTGAGTTCAAGGCCAGTCTGGTCTACATAGTGAGTTCCAGGACAGCTGGGGCTACAGGGAGACCCTGTTTCAAAAAGACCAAAAAACAAACAAACAAAAAAACCTTAGTAGTGATTACTCATGCATTCTGTTATTCAAAAAGTAACTAGAATACTGATACATCTGCCTCTTACCAGCCTGTCTCGTGAGTCTAGCTTTTCGTTTTTTTCTGTAGCTATTATCTAAAGACAGTCTATTTTAAGTCTTAACTGCTCATTATAGGTAGTTACATTAAAGTACATGCATATTAAAATCATGGACAGATGCTTGCTATAATGACTCCATGTACTTCTTCCCTGTATTTTAGTCCTATAAAACTAGAAGAAATATTTTGGGACTTCAGTTCTTCTTTTGGGCATTGTTCTTTTAACACTTTTGACAGTAATTCTGATTTCTGTTTACTTACTAATTTTGTATTGCTTTGTGCCCAGTAATAGTTTTAAAGGGGAGTGAGGTACTAAGAGGAAGATAATTTAATTTGCGTCTTAAAACATAAAGACTTATGGAACTCATTTATTACATCAATACTTGTACTCATAAATCGTCTTTAAAAATTTTTGACATCTAATGATGAACTGTATTACTTTTGTACTTGGAAAGTAGGTACAAACTTTTGGAATCAAAATTAGAATCCACTCTTAAGAAGTCTCTTGAAATAAAAGAAGAAAAAATTGCTGCTTTAGAAGCTCGACTGGAAGAATCTACAAATTACAACCAGCAGCTGCGTCAAGAACTCAAAACAGTAAGCAATTTTCTTCAGAAGTATTTTAATTTATCTTACAAATATTTGGAGAAAAAGCCATGAAGTAGAAATGAAAAACTCAGATGTAATTATGTTAATATTTCATCTTTTTCTTCCTATTCCATATATAGGACAAAAGATCTTTATCCTATGAGTGTGCTATAATTTATTCAGTGCATTTCATGTATGTAATATCCCCTTTATATGTGAAGCCATACTAAGAATTACAAAAGTGGGGTGGGAAAGAGTCAGGCTAATTTATTTGAAAACTATCAGTGTAATTCCTTTACTCTGATGTGTTTTTCCTACTGATCATCCAAGATTAAAAAAAATTGGGGTGGGGGGGAATGTCTCACTGTGTAGTCACACCAGGTGGGCTCAATCTCACAAAGCTCTGCCTCCCTGTGCCTCTGGAGTGCTGGGATTAAAGGTGTGTGCCACCACACCTGACCCAGGCAAACTCTTGATTAGCAAAGATATGACTATGCAGATCTCATGTAGAGGAAGTCTGTTATAAGAAAGGAACTGATCTACTCATAAATCTGATATCTTCTCTAGATCTGTTCTCTTGTGAGATTTGGAATTATTCAGTGAAGTTAAGCATTGCTTTCCCTAAGTGAAAAAATTGAAGTATAAGGGATTTCCACGTTTGTAGAGTGGACAAGTGGTAGATGGTAGTCTGATTCCAGTTTACTCTTCCCCCTGTAGTTGTCTCTCGTTTTTTTTTTTTTTTCCAAACAGGATTCCCTGTAGTGCAAGTGGGTCTGAAACTTGCTCTATGGCTAAGACTGGCCTCGACACTGATCATCCTACCTCTTCCCTAAGCACTGGGATTATAGTAGTACATTACCATGCCTGCCTCCCAGCAGTAGTCTTAAGGTTAATTAAACATATATAGAGTGATGAGATTACTATAGGCCACAATTAGAACTACTCTATTTTTTGTTTTGTTTTGTTTTTTGTCTTTTTGAAGCAGGGTCTCCCTGTAGCCCCAGCTGTCCTGGAACTCACTATGGAGACCAGGCTGGTCTTGAACTCAGAGAGATCCGCCTGCCTCTGCCTCCCAAGTGCTGGGACTACAAGTGTGCGCCACCACGCCTGGCTTAACTACTCTATTTTTTTTAAAGTAATTTAGACTCATATTCTTTTTAAAAATTGGTTTATTGTGTATGTGCGTGTATATACATGTGTTCACGATCATCATGGATTGGTGCTTACATACCACAGAACATACATGAGATCAGAAGACAACTTGTGGGAGCTGGTTCTCTCCTTTCCACCATGGAATCAAATTCAGGTTGTCAGGCTTGGGATCAAGCACCTTGACCAACTGAGCCGTCCTGCTGGCCCATAAGACTCATACTATGTTTGTTTTTTGTTTGTTTGTTTGAGAGGCCTTAAACTTTGCAGTGGCCTTAAACGTCTACCTTTTCCTTCCATGTGCTGGAATTAAAAGCATGTACCACAATATCAGGCCATGAGATTCATATTCTTACCAGATTATGGTTCAGGAAGAGCTGAGATCCACACTGGGGCAGGAAAGAACAGCCTTGGTTTTGAGACTTGATGCTTCACTACAGTCAGTAAATTTTACAACCCCAAAGAACTGAGCCGTCCTGCTGGCCCATAAGACTCATACTATGTTTGTTTTTTGTTTGTTTGAGAGGCCTTAAACTTTGCAGTGGCCTTAAACGTCTACCTTTTCCTTCCATGTGCTGGAATTAAAAGCATGTACCACAATATCAGGCCATGAGATTCATATTCTTACCAGATTATGGTTCAGGAAGAGCTGAGATCCACACTGGGGCAGGAAAGAACAGCCTTGGTTTTGAGACTTGATGCTTCACTACAGTCAGTAAATTTTACAACCCCAAAGGCATAAATTAAGATTTTCAAAACATGGGGGCTAAAGAGATGGCTCAGTGGTTAAGAGCACTGGCTATTCTTGTAGAAGTTCTGGATTCAGTTCCTAGCACCCACATAGTGACTAGCAACTTAGCAACTATCTATAACTCCAGTTACAGGGTATCTCATGTCCTCTTCTGGCCTTCATAGCATTGCATGACACAGATATACCTACATACATGCAGGTACAAAGTAATATCAGTGTAATACCTTTACTCTGATAAATGCAGGCAAATTGCTCATATACATAAAATAAAAATAAATTTTTATAATTTTCCAAAATGTACATACCAATTATGAGTTGCTACATGCAGGTAAATTCAGTGATAGCTTTCTCTTAGGTACTTATACCTGTACTAGTTCAAGTACAGGACCAATTAAAGTTTGAGCTTTTTCTGCAGAAGGACAATGAGTTTTAATTTACCATTTACCCACACTACCTTTCCTAGTATTTGTCACAGATTTTGTCACGAACATACACTGTTTTAGAAGAAACTTTAAAATTCTACATAATTAGCATGAATGATTATCCCAAAAGTAAAGTAAAACTTGGTGCCAGGTTTTATTAATCTGCTTTATATCTTGAATTTTGTACTCTATTAAGCAATATTCATAGGTTACAAATAAAGATAACTTCATGAAACTTCTTATATGTAAAATAAGTGGGTTTGAGAATGAGGTGGTTTGTGTGTTTCCAGTCTACATGTTAGACATAAAAATTTCCATCATCTTTTATTTCAGCTACTTTTTGCATAATGGCTGTAAAGAAGCTTTCTGCCATATACATGAAATTCAAATGGAACTGTACTTTCCGTAAAAATATTTTATTTATAATTTTTATTTTATGTGTATGAGTGCATTGCCTGCATGTGTATCAGTGCATCTGTGTCATGCAGTGCCGGCAGAGACCAGAAGAGGATATCAGATTCTCTGAAATTAGAGTTATAGGTAGTTGTTAGCCACCGTATGGATCTGGGAATTGAACCTGGGTTCTCTGCAAGAGTCAGTGCTTTTCACTGCTGAGCTATCTCTCCAGCTCCAAAACTGTACTTTTCTAAGATTCCAGTACTGTACACAATCCCTTGAAGACAGGTTCTGAAAGTTAAAGAGAAAGTATAAGAGCCAAACTATGACAAAAAAAATATAAAATGGAATCTAAAAAAATACAGGGAGACCCTGTCTCAAAAAGACCAATAATAATAATAAATTTTAAAAAATAAAAAATCCAAAGGCAGGCAAGAAAACAAAACAGAGCAAAACATAGAGTAGCTAAATAGAAAACAAATAGCAAAAGGTCAGTTTAAACCAGATCGTCAGTAATCATGTTCAATGTAAAAGGTCTAAATGCCCCAGTTGAAAAGCAGTGATGACTATGTTAAATGAAAAGGCAAGACCCACCTGTATACCTCATATAAGGAATTTTGATGAAAAATTGTATGACCTTCTAACACTAAAGAATGCTAAAGAATTATATTAAGATCAAATCATTTTAGAGCAGTGACTATCTCAGCTAAAGAGATTTGTTTCGCAATTATTAAGTGATCATTTTAGCTTAAAGGTATAACAAGATTGAATGTTTTCATACCTACCAACAGCTTCAAACTTTATAAATATTGATAGAACTACATGGAGAATGACAAATCCACAATTACAATTAGAGGATTTAATACCAATTTTACATAGTAAAAAGAGCTTAAATAAAGGGCTTTTGCAACCTACAGCTGTCCTTAATGGCAAAATTCTAATTACTTTCAGAAAAAAAAGCAAAGGTATTGCTCTCACTGTTTCTGTCAAATACTGTACTATTTGTTTTAATCAATGTATTAGATTTATCCTAATACAGATTTTTTTTGGGTTGGTTTTCTGTTTGTTTGTTTGTTTGTTTTTGTTTTTGTTTTTGTTTTTTGGTCTTTTTGAGACAGGGTCTCCCTGTAGCCCCAGCTGTCCTGGAACTCACTATGTAGACCAAGCTGGCCTTGAACTCACAGAGATCCGCCTGCTTCTTCCTCCCGAGTGCTGGGATTAAAGACGTGCGCCACTGTGTATGCATGTGAGTGTATGCCATGTATGTGCAGGTATCTGAGGAGCCTAGAAGAGATTATCAGGTCTTCTAGAGCTGGAGGGAAAGATGGTTATGAGCCACCTGATGTGGGTGCTGGGAACTGTGGGCCTCTGGAAGAGCAGTCACTCTTAACCCACTGAGCCATCCCTGTAGCACCAGAAATACAAATTTGAAAAGATGTAATAAAAATATTTTTATTTACTTCTGACACAATTATCTTCACAGGAAATCCTGAAGACTTTATAGTAAAATCTATATAAAGTTAGCTTATCAGTGTAATTAAAGATTAAAGATCAATATATAAAACTTTGGGGCTGGAGATTTGGCTCAGCACTTAGAGCTCTGGTGGCTCTTGCAGAGGACCCAGGTTCAATTCCCAGCACCCACATGGTGGTAACAACCATCCGTAACTCTAATTTCTCCTCTGATTCTTATCTCTTTTCTTCTATTGATTTTTGGTTTAACTTGTTATGTTTTATTCTGACTTTGAGATGCATCATGAAGTTAGGTGTTTGCATTCTCTGTTTTAATATAAGTACTCATAGTATGAACCGCCCTCCTAGAACTGCCTTTATTCCCAAGGTTCTAAATATTTGTTTTCATTTCTATTTGATTCTAGGATTCTTTCATCCCTAATTTCTTCAGTGATCCACAAATCATTCAAGAGTATATCGTTTAATCTCCATATGCTTGTATATTTCTATAGTTTTTCTTTGTTTTTCTAGTTTTGTTCCATTATACAAGAGGTTATTTGAAGAGAGAGACAGAGACAGAGAGAGACAGAGAGAGAATATTTTGGGATACTTCATGGCCTAAAACAAAACCTATTTTAGAGAACATACCATGGACTGCTGAGAAGAATATGTGTTCTATAGTCACTGGATGGAATAGTCTGTTAAGTTCATTTGCTCTATGGTGCACTTTAATGCTGACATTTCTTTGAATATTCTTTGGATGATATATCTGTTGATGAGAATGGGTATTAAAATCACCCACTATTATTATGTTAGCCTGTCATTCCTTTTATTTACAA